TTGCATCTTCCAACAGGACAATGCCAGACCACATACTGCATCAATTACAACATCATGGCTGCGTAGAAGAAGGATCCGGGTACTGAAATGGCCAGCCTGCAGTCCAGATCTGTCACCCATAGAAAACATTTGGCGCATCATAAAGAGGAAGATGCGACAAAGAAGACCTAAGACAGTTGAGCAACTGGAAGCCTGTATTAGACAAGAATGGGACAACATTCCTATTCCTAAACTTGAGCAACTTGTCTCCTCAGTCCCCAGACGTTTGCAGACTGTGATAAAAAGAAGAGGGGATTCCACACAGTGGTGAACATGGCCTTGTCCCAACTTTTTTGAGATGTGTTGATGCCATGAAATTTAAAATCACCTTATTTTCCCCTTAAAATTATGCATTTTCTCAGTTTGAACATTTGATGTGTCATCTATGTTGTATTCTCAATAAAATATTGAAATTTGAAACTTCCACATCATTGCATTCTGTTTTTATTCACATTTTTTACAGTGTCCCAACTTTTTTGGAATCGGGTTTGTACAGTATGTTGAGCCCACAGAGAACTGTGACCCATCCTCACAGTTCCCCTCAGCTTCTCAAGGTGTTTCGGCATCTCTCAGCTGATTGGTTTGTCTTTACAACCTTTACTCTTTCGGTTTACTCTCACTGCTCAACCTCGTCTCCTGTTGCAACAGGAGAAAAAGCTCTGATAAATTAGTGTACACTACCTGCCAGTTCCAGAAAACCCCAATGTTTTTCTGCATCTGCTGTTTGTGTAAATATTCAAATAATGCAGGTTTAATTCATTTAATCTGATAAGGCTGAAGGTTGTGAGGAACCTCCTAGTGTGTAGAACACAAAACCTCCTTAGCAAAGTGTTTAAAATGGAAAACAATTATGTTCATAAATATTTGTCTTGGCCTGGAAGATCTAGTATCCAAAAATGTATTTCTAGTATCTAGTCATCTTGCACTGAATCTGCACTAACCAAAGTCAACTCTCATTACAAGCCTAGGCAATGATTACCTGTCATTTCTGCTGACAACCCAAGGTCCAAAACCTCACTTTCTTCTTAAAACACAGAGCCGGTGGTTAGAGTACCACACCTATACTGCTGCATCCACTTGACAAACAGTGAATTTACTGTCGCTAGACTATGGTGGTCAGCAACACCAAAGCGCAAAAAATGGTGAAAAGCGAATCCCTGTAAAATGATCAAACACTTAAACCATGAAGCAGCATGTGGGCATTTTTCTCTCAGCAATGCGTATTTGTGGGTGTGGTATGTTGTCCTTGTAGGGTGAAACCTCTGTATATTGCAAGAGTAAAACTTACTGGGAGCAACATAAACATTCTTTCATTTAGAATTGTTTTCATTTTACTCTGCAGAAGAGTGAATAGTTTTAGCTCAGACACTGCAAAATTCATCAGCTTCATTAGGCAGTGCTCCATTTGTCTTAATGGAGCACGCATAACACATCACTATGACAATTTTCTTGTTCCTTGACATGCCCATAGGTTGGATTACACCATTATGCATCACAGCCTCTAAATCCTACAGCTAATGATATAGTTGCAGACTAAACTATAACAAGAGCAAGTCATTTAAGATCCAGGACCTCTAATCATCCTCTTCATCATGTTAAAAACAAAAAACTAACTTTGAAACCAGAATTCTGTCAATAGTTATTACTACTGAGCCTTTGACTGTGTTATCCCAAGTACATGAAAAGGGCCTGAAAACATACAATTATACATTTCAACCAGATCATTTAAAAGTTTAACTAGACTTTAATGAATGCACAAACTAAAAATAGTCTCAAGTATAGTCTGTGAAATGTAAATATGTTGGGTGATTTTAACTCATCATCATAATGATTTCTTTCATCTTTTAATGTGGGTTCATTTACAATAATTAATACACTATCTAGCAGAATCTTTGAAATTGCATCACAAGAGATCTCACTGTTGTGTTTGTATCCCAGGAAACGTGACCCATATGTTGAGTCCTGGTCCTTCTTTTGACATTGACTTTGAGATTAAAAATTCATCCTTTCACATCCAAACCTGCAGGATGAAGAGGGAATCGGAGGCTCTTGACCTGCATGTGATTCAATGGAGCAACACTTTTAGGATCTAAAGGATGATTTTACAGGGGTTAACAAAGTTTTCTCATGTTTCAGAATTAAGCAAAATTATGTGTACAACATCAAAATAAATATTCAGAGATTTTAAAGTCTCACCTTCCCACATATGAGTGCAGGTGCACAAAAATCAAAATCAAACAGTAAACAAATTCCTATTCCGCTCTGATTAACACTCAACCCACGACAGTATGACTGGACAATAACCCTCAGTGCAATACCTTCCCCCATTGCCATACCGGTAAATATACATTGTACACATCATACAGATTCGTACAGGTCTCTACTTTTAAGTACTCCATTTTTATCTCGTTTCCTAATGAACATTCCTTTGTCTGTCTGCATTTTTTATTGCCTGTTTATTTTGTTATACGGCACAGCCTTATGTTGGTATATCGTTTACTTGCCCCTTGCTATTGCCTTACATACGCACTGAGAGCTGCTGTACCAGAGTCAAATTCCTCATGTCCAACACAACTGGCCAAAAAAGCTGATTCTGATTCTATAACAATAAACAATAGAAACAACAGTAACTTCATTATTTGTAAGGAGAATGGAGGAGCTAATATGAAATGGATGAAAAGCAGAATGTCTACAAATACAAAGGCAATGTAAAAATGCTCAGTTACAAGTCCAGAAATCCAATTTTCACAAAAATAAATCACCACCATATTATTAAAAAAATGATGAGCTGACTAATCACTCAGTTGATCAACAGAATAATAATTCACAACTACTTTGATTTGGTCCCAGCTTCTCAGATGTGAGGTCTTCCTCGTTTTTTTTATTTATTTTTGTGTGTGTGTGTGTGTGTGTGTGTGTGTGTGTGTGTGTGTGTGACCACGTCTAAAGTACTGCAAGCAAAGGTACTCAGTGCCAAGTTGCTTATTTTCAGCTTGATGTATCATTACTGGAAGTGGAGCTACTTTGTCATAAACCTAACATTTTATTTCTTCATAATCTGAAAGGTAGGTTCGAACTGTCAAGAGTACTTCCCTCTGAAATGTAATGAGTAGGACTAGCTATAGAGTCTAGGCCTAATAATTTAATTATAAAGAATAAGAACTTGACTAAATGTACCTAATTACTTTACATCATTGCTGCAGATATTCTCTGATCCTAAAGATCTTGAGTGTAGCTATTAGTCATGCCTACACAGTTGTTATCTAAGGGAGATGGTGCTGTTTTAAGTGGTGTTGCCTCTGTTTTAGCGGGTGATATTCAAAATAAAATGACGTGATTGCACTATGCGCCAATGCCAACGGAGGGGGCGTCTCCAACTATTTTGTTACACACACGAATCCGGAGTAAGGAGTCTTTTTCCTGGGTATGTAACAGCTGCTTAAACTAAATTATATTTACAGTATTGCTGCTATAATAAGTGAACTGTATTTACTTCGAATCGGGAAGCTTTATGTGACCAGTTGCGCCTTTTGTGCCGTGCTATGGTTTGAAGGGGATCTTTTTGTGCTCGGAAACGGCAACAGAATGGCCAAAGACGTAACGTGGTAGATGGTGAAATTTACAGGTCGTCATTTTGTCGGTTAGTAAACAGTCTCCCCCGAGCTGTGTGCTGATCGTCCGAGGCATCCCGCTGTCTGCAAGTCGGAACATTTTGTCTGCAGCGTTGTGTGAGCATGTAACGCTTGTTTGCAAATGGATCGGTAGGGGGAGGGAGTTGTTGTGGTGAGACATGTTAGACATTTTACTCCCGACTATTTACAAAGAATATGATTTGTTAAAAGCGCGGTCGTCCTCTCTGCAGGAAAATGGAGCTGCTTTGGCTGCATTTTTGGGAGCGCGGAGAATGGCGTGGTTCCGCCGCGACGATGTTTCCATACAGCAACGTCGTAGTTTCCGTTTCGTTTGACTTTGGCATTGTTTTGTAAGGGCATCTGGATCGGCTCTTGCCGCCTAGAAAAACGCTGCGGTAGCCGCACAGGCCCTACTTCGGCGTGTCCACCGATGTTCATGCAATGCTTCAGTCACCAGATGATGCCTTTTTGTGTTACGAACCCTTTTGTTTGGAGTGTGCACCCTGTAAATACCCACGTCTACTGACGCTGAGTGCAGGGGCTGGCTGCTCCTTCCAACCATAATTCTCGAGCCCACAGTGCGTTGTCTGGCGTGCTTTTAAACTAAACTTGAATAAAAGGATTCCGAAGCCGCCGATAAACACTCTTATAGACTATTGTGCGACACAATTCAATGTCCTACTCTTGGTCAGATGCTGGTTTCCGTGTGTGACATGTATTTTGCAAAAATGCAAGAAATTACGTGAGGATTTCTGGAGAATCCAGGCGGGATAGCAGAGCACTGTGTACGTTCGTGTGCACGCTGCAGCCTACAGTCTCTTCTGGACCCTCTGTCTGGGCTGGAGGGAGGAATCCCGGGCTGGTGTTGCAGCTCCGCCTGTCGTGGGCGATGGTTTATTTTGGAAGTTCCGCCTTTTGGGAGAGTTGTAATGACGATTCCGTGCAATGATTGGCTTACTGTCACCAAAGAGGCGGGACCTACAGCTATGGGAGGGACACAAATGCAAAGACACGGGCTACTTCCTCCTACAAAGTCATGTGTTACCATACTCCAGGAAGTGGCTAGATAAAGAGATCCGAATGCGTTCACCATCTAGATAGATTGTTCTTTTAGTTTATAGGATATAAGAAATGATTGAAAATCCTAAAGTACTCACGCTGAGAATATAGTATACTGCTGATCCCCCAGGGATCAAGAAGTCCCTAAAGATATGTAATGATATATGATGGTATTTTGTATAATTAATTTGAATCTGCAAATGAGTAAGTAGGCTACAGTTGTTATACTGTAGTAGAGTAACAGGTACAATCTTTTCCTCTGAAATGTAGTGGAACAAAAGTATAAAGTATCATAAATGGAGATAATTAAATGACAAGTTAAAACTCTTCCTAAGTACATGCTACCATTATGAAAAAGGATCATGGATATTCCCCAGAATTTGTTGTTTGTCCTACCAGCACTCAAAACCCGAGTATATGTTCATAAAAAACTAGCACATATTCACATCTGAGACACTGTTGCCGTGGAGATTTTATTAATAAACTATCACTTCACCTTTATAGTAGGTACTGTTTGGCTTCGAACCATCAAAGGCAAATAATAAAAACGGTTGGTATGGGCCAAACAGCAAAACTTTGCCCCGGGACCCTCCGAGGTTTTAATCGGACACTACTCTCCTGATCCTATATATAATCCAACAGGACTCCAGTCGCTGCTTGCGTTGTCGCGCTTCAAGTCAAAATGGGCGTGTTTGGCAACTGTACCGACAAATACTTGATTGACAATTCAAATTCACAACCCGGGTCACTCGCCCCACCCTTCTACACGAATTGACCAATAGGGTTTGTACGTGGGGCGGGCTTATATCGAAACCACGCCTCCCCTACGGCTAACCGAACGGAGATTGTTTTCCTCTGTTGGGAAGATTTTCATTTCGTAGCACATACCTTGAATTGTTTATTTTAAATTATACGCCATTGTTAAGTTGCTTTTCATCAATACGTCGTTTCGGCATCTTCTTCAGTCTGTGGTGTAGCGATTAATACGCAAATAAACGGAATACCAAAGCAGCATCGGCGAACTTCAGCTTGCTATTTAGGAGAGGGGTGAGTTCAGCTAAATTCATTCAGCATGCTAACACAGTTAGCTTTCTAACAACCGTTAGCAGGCGTTTTAAGTAAGAGAGGTCGACGTTTCTTTGCTGTCACTCACTCGTAGCTAGACTTGCTTTTCGCTGTCTAATACATTGATAGTTAATTCTAGCTGCAGACAGTCAGTTTCACCAGATCGCTAATGGCTAGCTGCATGTGCTTCCCTGTTATCCCCGGACGGTGCTTGGTGTCGGGCTACTCATGTTGTTTACATTAGCTAGTAGCTAACTGGCAGCTCACAGCCCCTTGTCGTCATAACAAGTTCCAGCTGAAGTTATTAAAATAAACAATCTAAAATGCTTTCAAGCAGGGTAGTCAGTCAGACGGTTACCAAGTAGCCAGCTACTTTTAGTGCTTACCTGATTGAAATGGAGCGTGTTTGCTGCACTCCTACACCACGCTGTAAATGGCGGGCGTGGAGCAAGCGTCGTGCTGTAACTCGAGCTCGGTGCTTGTGTTGCTAGGCCATAAAGGGAATGGTGAGGAGCTGTTGTCGGCTAACGTCTGTTAGCGCGTAGCACACACAGCCCAGCTGTAAAGCTATTTGCCAGTACGCGATTGTAACGTGGCTATGCTAAGTAAAATTGACACATCCATAAACACTATAGTAACGTTATTGCTCCTTTTGCCTGCGGCAGTTGTGAGAGATGATTTGTTGGTGAACAGGTCGGTGCAGCTCCGAGCGGGCACTTCAGTGTTGTGTTCACTTTTACGCAATACGCGTAATTTATTCTCGAGCCACCCGGTTTCTGGCTATATATTTCGGTACAGTCATTCATGCATATGATGGTGAGTTGCCGCTGTCTTGAGGAAGTTGTGAATGGCAGAGCACGTTTCCACGGCAGCACCTGTTTGTTGCGTCGGTGACGTAGGCTGTGTTTCATTGGCTGTGGAGACTGCGAGTTTTACATTCAGTAGATGTTAACGTTTAGATAGGTTTAAATACTGATTCTCAGTGTAATTTGTTGTTTTAGAGCGCTTCTCAATTCGGTGACAACATAAGAAAGGGGTAGGGGGATTGGGTGGCAGCCGTAGACCGCTTTCACCAGTGGTGCAGTAATGCACCCAGGGCTCCGTGGATGAAGAGACCTCCGAAGACTGGAAAATAAATGTCTGCTTTCATCTGCAGTTTGTACAAGGGGTCTGTCTAATGATTTCAAGAACTAAGACAAAATGTTGTGCTGGAGAAGTAATTTCCGCAACTTGGAAGCCCAAAATGCCTTTCTTATAATTATATATGATCATAATCAACCCATTAATTACCTCTTGTAAATCCTTTTATAAGTGGTGTAAGAAAGTTATCCAGTAAAACTCAAACTTCTTTCTGTCACTAAAAGCATTTTCTGTTTCATTGGATCTATTGTCAGAGAATGTATAGGTTTATACATTGCTTCCTCAGATAAACAACAGAAGTAGGAAGCTGGCACTGTATAGATTTGTAAATCCATAGCTGAAGTAAAAAATTATTGCCATATGTTCCCCAGCAAATTATCCCCTGGAATAAAGAGGCTGATTTAATGGATTTTGATAATTTGACAGAGGTCTGCCAGTGTGAAATGGAGTCCATATGCTGCTTTTTATCCTCAGGTCTCTCACGAGTATGAGTTCATAATGAAGCGGCGACTGGAGGATCAGGAAGTTTTTGCATCCCAGCAGCGACGTCTCGCTGCTAGCGCGGAGGCTTTCCAGCATCGTGTCCTGGCCCCAGCTCCGGCCCCAGCTGTGTACGAGGCTGTGTCTGACAACATGCAGCCCACAGCAGGCGTCCAGTACTCTGTCCCACAGGGATACCAGGTATACTCTCTTTGTCTAGTGTAGATTTGGTTTTTGTTTGTCAGGCTGGTCTGTGGTGCATGTCGATCACAGAGTTGCCTGTTTGATGGCTTTTTCTATAAGCTGTTAGTATAACTTTTGGTTTATAAAGATAAATTTCTCTGTATTTATTGCATGCGGTGATTCTTCTTCTTCACGACAAGTGTCAGCCATCAGATATGTTGCTTCTATGGCTTACTACGTGTCATCACTGTTATGTTTTGTGCTTTCCCAGGTTCCCACTGTGGCCCAGAACAGCGGAGGGCATGGGCACGCTCCAAGCCCTGCTGTCCATGGGGGGTCCCACCACCACAGCCCAGCGGTCCAATCCCATGGGCCCTCAGTGATGTCAGGACACAGCCACACAGCTGCCCCTCAAGCCTCGGTGCAGGGCCAGCAGCAGTTCCAGCGGCTCAAGGTCACAGTGACACTTTTATTTTGACAGAAACCCTGGAAATATCAGATCAACGAAGCTAGTGAATAATAGAGGCAGTATTAAAAGACTCACTTAATATTTAGTGGATTGTTTGGTTGCTCACTGTTCTGTTTATTTCCAGTGCTTCTCTTGGTTTCAAAATGCAATGGTGAAATAATGTGTTGATTAGTCTAACTCCTGAAAAAGGAGTAGCTGATAACTTTATTTTATTTTTTTTTCTGTAAGAACATTTAATGTTTCATATAAGAATTGAGGCACTGCTGCCAGAAATAATTGTGGAAGAAAAACAGATTGGTAGATTGATGAAACTGATTTTCCCTCCTCTTTCTCCCTAAGGTGGAAGATGCTTTGTCTTACTTGGACCAAGTGAAACTGCAGTTTGGCAACCAGCCTCAGGTCTACAACGACTTTCTGGATATAATGAAAGAGTTCAAGTCTCAAAGGTGAGAAAACGGCTACTGAATTACATACCCAAATGTTCTTGTTCAGTTTCTTTACCGGATGAGTTCTTACTCTGTATTTGCACTCTCACTGTCATGGTACTACTAATTTGCACTGTGTAGTACTAAAATAATTAGCTTGTCTGTGATGTAGATAAGCTGAATGATAGACTAACATTTTCTAAATATTAGGCCACAAGTCCCATTTCATTTTTTTAATTTTTTTTTTTTTTAAATAAACTGTTATCTAACCAGAAGGATTTCCCTGAGTCCCAGAACACATTCATCTTTTTTGGCAAGTCTTTTATTTCTACCAAAAAAAAGATGTAATTTGGTTTTCTCCATGAAAATAATTATCTCAAACGGTAGTGTCGCTCCTCTTTTGCTAAAATTTTCAGTTTCCATCATTGCATCTGAGCTTCTGAGTCATATGTGGGTTTTAATTCATTCTCTGCTTTTTGTGTTTGCTCAGTATTGACACTCCTGGTGTCATCAGCAGAGTGTCACAGCTTTTCAAAGGTCACCCTGATCTCATCATGGGATTCAACACTTTCCTGCCACCGGGCTACAAGATTGAGGTCCAGACCAATGACCTGGTCAACGTGACCACACCCGGTCAGATCCACCACATCACCCCACATGGCATTTCAGTTCAAAACATCCCCATAACAGGAGCAGCTACTCAACACCAAGCTCCACTGCCATCTGCTGCAGCCACCACTGCGCCACCCCTTCTAACACAGCCCACCCCTCCCAAGATGAGCAAGGTGCGTATCACATGCAGGATGTGAATGGACACCAGCCAAGTTATTAAAAAATATAAATATAGTTATTCTCATCTCTAGTGTTTTGTGGTGCAGCATCTGGTTAACCCTTAAAATCTTCCATGTTCTAGCCTCTTCAGCCACAGGCTTTGACACCAAGCAGCCAGAGCAATCCGTCCATCCCTGCATACACCTCTCCCCGCTCCCCTCCCATGCAACTCCACACGCCACTCAGTGGGACCCCCACCGGTCCACCCATGCAGAACAACCAGCCTGTGGAGTTCAACCACGCCATCAACTACGTCAACAAGATTAAGAATCGCTTTCAGGGCCAGCCTGACATCTACAAAGCCTTCCTGGAGATCCTCCACACATACCAAGTCAGTGGCAGAAACCAAATGAAAAAAGTACTTGTGTGGATTCAAACATTTAATTGTACAAATGGGCATTGTCACTGCCTGTATTAGTATAGTTTTCAGCAGCAACTTTACACTTATCTTCTGTTTGGTGGTCTACAGAAGGAGCAGCGTAACGCAAAGGAGGCTGGAGGGAACTACACACCGGCTCTGACAGAGCAGGAGGTGTACGCTCAGGTGGCCAGACTGTTCAAGAACCAAGAGGACCTACTGTCAGAGTTTGGGCAGTTTCTTCCTGATGCCAACAGTTCAGTGGTGAGCATAGTCAGGATAATCATGAAGCAAACCCCTCTTCTCACTTCAGTGGACTAGAACTTTTCTCACAAATTTTCTGTATTCTTCATAGCTGCTAAATAGGACCACAGCGGAGAAGGCGGAGTCTGTACAGAACGACCACGGTGGTACCACCAAAAAGCTGCAGCTCAACAACAAGCAGCGGCCCAATCAGAACGGCTGTCAGATCCGTCGACATCCAACCCCAGGGACCACACCACCTGTGAAGGTAGAGACAAGCATGTCAGACACCGCTGAAGTCAGCTCCTCTTTCCTTTTTATGTTCATGTTTCACGTTGGTCTGATTTTGTAATTATTCTACCTCTGTCTCTTCTTTGTAATTTTGTTAATGCAACAGAAGAAGCCCAAGTTGCTGAATTTGAAAGATTCCTCAGTGGCAGAAGCCAAGCATGGAGTTGGCACAGAATCTCTGTTCTTTGAGAAGGTGAGCTTATTTAACAATTAACATACTAATGTGTTTTGGCTTGAATACATGTTTTTGCCAACATGAAAAGTAAACTCACAAAGAAAGGAAGCAATTACATAACTTAACCACGCTGATAGGCTTTTAATCAATGCAAAAGCTCAATAAAAGCAAGGTAAGATGTAAACTATAGTCTCAGTGATATTGTTTTTTATATTGTTTCGGTACATATGCTCCTGTTTGAAGTTCAGTTCAGTATAATTCCACAGTAAAGCGCAGTTTACTGAATCCATGAAGTCAGTATGACTGATATATCCAAAGTAACGAGAGGAATAAGTAAACTAATAAACTTTGAGTATGATACTGTTGTAGAAATAATAAAAAAAAATTGTTACTTGGGTTTATCTGTTTACTCGACTTGTTTTCCAGTGGCAAATTATGCCAGAATATTTGAGTACATCCAGTAGACTCTCACATAGACAGTATTTTAAAATGTGTTTCTCATCACAGGTTCGCAAAGCCTTGCGAAGTGCAGAGGCCTACGACAACTTCTTGCGGTGTCTGGTCATTTTTAATCAGGAGGTGATCTCCAGGGCTGAACTGGTTCAACTCGTGCTGCCCTTTTTAGGGTGAGTTGTCACACCTAGCACATGAAGTAAGTGTTTTTTAACTGGAAACTTTATGTATGTCTCATGCATGTTTTTTTTTTTTTTTAATTCTGTCAGAAAATTTCCTGAGCTGTTCAACTGGTTTAAAAACTTCCTGGGTTATCGGGAAATGTCCCACATTGAAACATACCCAAAGGAGCGGGCCACTGAGGGTATCGCCATGGAGATCGATTATGCTTCCTGTAAGAGACTAGGCTCCAGTTACAGAGCCCTGCCCAAAAGCTACCAGCAGCCCAAGTGCACCGGCAGAACTCCACTTTGTAAAGAGGTGAGAGCAGCATGCAGGGAAAATCTAGAGATGCGGAGAACATCGTGCACTGCATTCTCATTTGTGTGCAATAAGTTTTTGTTTAAAACCTTGTGGCCAATATTCTGATCACTTAAACACCGGTTGTCTTATCTGTATCTAGTCAATCTTCAACAACATCCTTTCACCTCAGTATAGGTTTTTCAGAATTTGGAGTTTAAAGTGTTTGTTCCTGTTGTGTCCAGGTTTTAAATGACACCTGGGTCTCCTTCCCCTCTTGGTCTGAGGACTCTACGTTTGTCAGCTCCAAGAAGACTCAGTATGAGGAGCATATCTACAGATGTGAGGACGAACGCTTTGAGGTGAGCAGGAACTTTCAACAACTTCATACATCACACAAGAGTGAAGTCCCACTTCAAAAGATCATTTTATTCTCATAGATGTTAGGTTTTCCTTTTCCAAACATGACTTTTCTGTCATCAGTCTCCCTAAACAAAGGCTTTTGAATTACTAGGGAGAAATTGCTAAGTGACAAACATTAGAAGATATGAATATGTGAACAGGCTTTTTAATGAAAAATAAATGGTGTCCATACAGTGTCAATTGGTTGGAATTCTTATTGTCGGTTAAAGGCTAAACAGTTAACGTGTGCATCCCTACTTTTCACAGTTGGATGTAGTACTGGAAACCAATCTGGCCACCATCAGAGTCCTGGAAACAGTACAGCGGAAGTTGTCCCGCATGTCTGCCGAGGAGCAGGCGAAGTTCCGCTTGGACAACACCCTGGGTGGCTCATCAGAGGTCGTGCACCGCAAGGCCATCCAAAGGATATACGGAGACAAAGCACCCGACATCATTGACGGACTGAAGAAGAACCCAGCGGTGTCTGTCCCCATTGTGCTGAAGAGGTGAGTGTCAAACCAAGGCCTGACTTGTATAATCTTTTACCTCTCTTTTTCATGCAGTATGTTATTTATTTCATTTATATTGTAAGTCAACATAAGGCTTATAAACCTGCTAATCCTCACAGGAGGAAACAGCAAAATGGTGGATGTAAAAGTGGTTCCTCAGAATTACTGTGTGCTTTTTCAGAGCACAGTCTCCAATGCTGCAAAAAGATTTGAAAAGAATTCACACCATTAACAGTATTTTATTTAAGGAGTCCTGTGTAAAATGCAGCAGATAGTTGTATCTTACACTAGTTGGCTCTGCCTTCTCTTCTAACAAGGCTAAAGACAAAGGAGGAAGAATGGCGGGAAGCCCAACGAGGCTTCAACAAGATCTGGAGGGAGCAGAATGAGAAGTATTACCTCAAGTCTCTCGACCATCAAGGCATCAACTTCAAACAGAATGACACCAAAGTGCTTCGATCCAAGTCCTTACTGAATGAAATTGAAAGCATCTATGATGAGGTGCGTTTCTTTCTGCCGTACCTCTCAGTGACAGAAAGACAGTACCACTGCTAGCATTTTGCACATGTGATCAGTGGAGAATCATATTCTCTGCCTCCAAAGTACTGACACTGAATTGTTTTTGTCGTGCAGCGTCAGGAACAGGCTTCTGAGGAGAACGCCACCCCACCCACAGGCCCCCACTTGACGATGGCGTATGAGGACAGTCAGATTCTGGAAGACGCAGCAGCACTTATCATTCACCATGTCAAGCGGCAGACCAGTATTCCGAAGGAGGACAAATACAAGATCAAACAGATCATCTACCACTTCATCCCTGACATGCTGTTCTCTCAGCGGGGCGAGCTCTCTGACATAGAAGAGGAGGAGGAAGAAGAGGAGATGGATTTGGAGGAAGGCGCTTCCAAAAAGCACAATGGCGTCCCTGGCAGCAGGAGCCCCTCCAAGTCCAAGCTTCTGTTCAGCAACACGGCAGCGCAGAAGCTGCGTGGCTGCGATGACGCCTATAACCTCTTCTATGTCAACAACAACTGGTACATCTTCCTGCGACTGCACCAGACGTTGTGCTTGCGCCTGCTGCGGCTGTACGGGCAGACAGAGCGGCAGATTGAAGAGGAGGTGAGGGAACGAGACTGGGAGAGGGAAGTCCTGGGACTCAAGAAGGACAAGAACGACAATCCGGCCATCCAGTTGAGACTGAAGGAGCCCAGTGAGTAGCAACACACAGATCCTCATGCAGTTGTATTAATATTCTTTACTGTTAATTAGAACATACTTAAACTTATAGAATATGGACTTTTATCAAAGCCGATGACTAAACAAATGAACACACAAAAGCATCATATAACTGAATGAAAAGAAAACTAAAGAGGGTCAAAGTACAGAACACAACTGTAAATGGAACAGAAAGCACTGAAGTTTGGAAAATAAAACTGCTGCCAAAAGCAACACTGCTGATCTACTTAACCATCTGATTTTTTTTCATATTTGTTCTTTCTAGTGGACATTGAGGTGGAAGATTACTACTCAGCCTTCTTGGAGATGGTCAAGAATTTACTGGATGGAAATATGGAGGCTTCTCAGTACGAGGACTCACTGAGGGAAATGTTCACCATCCATGCTTACATTGCCTTCACAATGGACAAACTCATCCAAAGCATCGTCCGGCAGGTAACAACTTGTTTTTTTTGCCTCTTTACTGTACATTCCTAAGAGTTGTTGTAGTTGTTTTTCAGTCAAAGACCAACACTTTCTCTCCTGCCAGCTCCAGCACATTGTGAGTGATGAGATCTGCGTCCAGGTAACAGACCTTTACCTGGCAGAGAGTGCTAACGGGGCCAGCGGAGGATCCATGTCCACCCAGTCTTCACGGAGCTCTGCGGAGGCCATCTACCAGCGAAAAGCAGAGCAGCTCATGTCTGATGAGAATTGCTTCAAGGTAAATACGCAAGGTGCCATTTGACCCTAATTCGCTGAATTCCTGTTGACCTCTCATGTAGTTTTTGGTTTGAATAATTTCTGAGGTGTGTTCACCACCAAAAACATATCCACACTTCTCTACATTGTAGCAAAGTAAAACCTATGCATGTTAAGAAGAAGCTTCCGTCAGCAGCCTCAGACTTGTCCTTGCAGCCAGGCCAGTAAACATGAATGTGTGCTCTGCCCTTTTGGTAATAATCATCGCATGGTTCTCGGTAGTAGATGCAAATTAGTTTTTTTTTTTTTGAGTTACCACAAGCTGTGAGTTTCTAAGTCACCGACCGTGAAGTGGAACGTCACCACTAGCTCTCATTTATCACTGCAAATGGGAAGCTGCTTATTCAGTTTTATAAAAAAAAAATCCTCTTAGTTGTTTAATTATTCTTTTACAAATAAAGTAGCATGATTCAAAGAATTGGAAAGAAACCACTGGTAGAGACAGGATCATTTACAGCCATGTTTCTGGATTCTAACTAGCAGCCACTCAGTTTGCTCTCTAGTCCTCTGAGCCCCTGGAACATTGTGCTTTCTTTATCTTTCACACACTGAATTAATTTCACACTCACACTTGCTCTGTCTGTCACTTTCTCAGGTGATGTTTTCACGAAACAGAGGGCAAGTGCAGCTCACAATGGAGCTGCTCGACACTGAGGAGGAGAACTTAGACGAGCCCATGGAGGCTGAGGTGAGAAACCATTAGCCCTACCAAAGGCTTTTGGTTTTGAGGTTTGGCCCATGAGCAGACAGTGAGAATGAACTCAGGAAATTAACTTTTTGTTAAATTCACAACCCAGATTGTAATCTTAAAATAAACTCTTACCTATTTACTGTTTTTATAGGAGCTGTTGATTGATATGCAAATAAAAACCAGGTTAAATGTGTCATTTGGCTACTTATATCATAGTGACTAATAATTTGAGTATATTTGATAAACGGCAAATAAAAGTTGTCATTGTTTTTATTTGTCATGTAGTAAGTGGCTCCTCTTTTGCAGCTGGAGTGGAAATACTAGTCAGGATCTGTTGCCAATCTTTTACTGTTTCTGGTCCTAATCTGTGTTTTGCATATGCAGCGTTGGTCTGATTACGTTGGACGCTACTTAAACCCAGATTCCATCACACCTGAGTTGAGGGAGCACCTCGCTCAGAAGCCAGTTTTCCTTCCCAGGTCAGTCGTCACATCTGCTCATTTGACATATTTGCTGCAGTACCTTTTTTGAGTTGTGAATGTAGTTTTATTACTGAAGGCAGAGGAAAAAATAGATAATGTTAATGGCAATTTCAGTCAAATTCAAAAGCTGAACATGAATCCTTTTGATGAAACTATTCGATTAGTTCTAACATTTCTGCTGAATCTCATTGGCCATTCTCATCACGTTTGTCTCCGCGCTCGTAACCAGGAATCTGAGACGGATCAGGAAGTACCAGAAGGGCCGAGAGCAGCTGGACAAGGAGGCCTGCGAGGGCGGCAAGAAATCCCTAGAAAAAGAGAAGATGGAGTGCATGTTCAAGCTTAACTCTTACAAGATGGTCTACGTCTTTAAGTCTGAGGACTACATGTACCGACGCACTGCCCTGCTGCGAGCTCACCAGGTAATCACTGCTTCTTCGGTCCAGTGCTGCTTCTTCCGTCATATCATTTACTCAGTAACTGTGTTTAATATATTTCTTTCATACTCAGTTTTTGGTTTAAAGGCATGAAATCAACCTGAATCATCCATAGAACTAGGGGTGTGGTGATACACTTAGTTCACTAGATGAGACGATACACGATATTGGGTTCACGAGGACAAGATGAGAAATATTGTCAGGTTTTAATATCGCGAGATCTTGTGGCATGAGATCTCATCACATCCCTTCATAAAGCCCATGCAGATTTGTTAAATTGAAATGTTAAATCTAGTCCTGGAATTCAATATTCAGCAGGTTGCCATTTCCTGTTGGTGTCCTGAAGGCATCACTTGAGTGACTGAAATTATTTTCAGCTCACGGACTCGTAGTCTTTTCATTTACAGATAATAGTTTTGTCACCTATGTGACTACCAACATCACAGTTTAAAGAGTACACTCGTCCAGCTCGTTGGCCCAGTCCAGCTTGTCGCCGTGTTGCACAGACACAATTCTTCCTCTCCTCCTGGGTAGCCTCATTCACCTAGTCTCCAGAAGATCCCCTATGTGTTTTTTAACATCTGTACATGTTGCCATCACTGTGGGTTTATGGGTGTTGAGCGGTCAGAAATAGCCGCTCAGAGCACGTAATGAAAACAGATGTCATTGTAAACAGAGCTCAGAGAAATGCCAATGGATCACAGCCCCCAACGCACACTGGCTGATTTACAGCCCAGTTTTGTCGGCACATAGGAGGCTGATCTCAGGTAACGTGGTTTACAGAAACTTTGGGTGACACTGTACAGTCACGTATATCAAGGCTGTGGTGACATCTGAATATGCTTTCACCCACCAGCGATAGAAACTAATGTGAAATATACTGATTCAGTGGTATCAAAGACTTGTTCCTTTATGTAGTGACTTAATCTCTGATCACAGCATTGCCTAACGTCCCTCTTGTTTTTCCTCAGTCACATGAGAGGGTGAGCACACGGCTGCATAAACGCTTCGAGGCCTGGGTGGAGGCGTGGGTCAAGGAGCACGTTACCCGTGACATGAGCACTGAAACCAATAAGTGGCTGATGGGTGAAGGGCATGAAGGCTTATTACCCTGCACCACCACTCGCCAGCCAGAGGTCATTCACTTCATGAACATCAACAAGTACCGCGTCAAATATGGCACACCCAGCAAGGCACCGTAGCCGAGAGGATTAGAGAGACTGATTTCTGGGGGTGTTTGGTCTCAAGGTAAACAGGTCAGGAGTAGAGGTAGGGATAAGGCTTATTAATGTGTTTTTAAGGCAAATGTAGGAGCACAATGAAGCTAGCTACCGTGTATGTTGCACCCAGGGCGGCAGGATTGCTGATTTTACCAGCGTTTTTAGCTGGGCCCATTTTTCACAGGGCCTTTGGTGCCAAAACTTAGGAATGGTCATGTTCCAGTCGCAGACCTGAGCTCCAACCAGCACTCAGAGCCACGTCTCAAACTTCCCTGGGCCTTTTTGACAGGGCTTAGCAACATGAGCGGCGAGCCTGTGAGAGATAGAGTGGTGCTTTTTGTACTTTATCACAACTGAGCTTGAGTTTAGCTTTTGACTGACTGTTTTGTCTGAAACCATCAGAGAAAGAGCTCCATCAAAATCAATCATACAGAGATTTATTTATGATAGTGTTATTCTAAAGTATCTGTGGATAACAATAAGGGGGTCAAGTGCACTTATTTAGTAAGAGGAAAATGTCATTTCAGATAGTTTTGTTGCCAGATTGAAGGTTCAGGAGCTCAGTAAGGAGAGATCTGGATCAGACGTTCCTGTGTTAAGGCCAAATCACAATTATGTACCTATCACTATATGGAAAAAGAGGGTTATATTTCCTTTTCCAAAACACATGGCAGCATTATTAGAAACTGTGCCTGAGCTCCAAACAGTGTTGTTGGGTTAACATTGAAAAGCATTGTTACATCAAACGTTAAAAAAAACCGTCTCACAGCACTGTTTGGTCTCAGACTGTAAAATTGTATAGCTTGTGAATGTCAGATACTGACATGTATTCCAGTGTATGTGTTGTGTATATATATATTATATATAGTTCTATTAACACAAATGATCCTCGCCGCCCTGGACGTCAACCTTTTTAAAATGCTCTTTGCCAATACACCAGCTTGTACACCCACGAACACACACACTCACACGTCTCATTCTGGGAGGCCTGTCCACATGCCACCTTGTAAATACACTGTATATAGCCTCAGACTTTTTATGACAGATCTGTGTTGTTGTGCTAGTGATACTTTCCAAGCTTACTGTGGACTTTAGTGATAAATGGCTAAAGTTAGTATGTATATGAAAAAGACAAATGCAAGACCATTTATTACAGTTTTTACCAAAGGGAGTTGATTATAAAAATAGCTGTGTTCCCCCCTTTGTGTGTTCCTTTATGTCTTTTCTTTTCATTTCTGTAGTAAAATCATGGAAAAGTAGAAATGTATCCAGGTCTTTTGGTTTTTATATATAAAAAACTTTTTTTTTTTTCCTTCTGAATGTGACATTTGGTTGTTAAAAATCACTGCCGCATTTTGACAACCGACACCGTCCGTGGTGATGGCGGGACTCAATTCACAGTTCAGATTTCAGATGAATGGACTCCACCATGGTCTCACCTTGTGATGCACGCTTCCCTCCCTGGATAGATTTCTGCTCCAGACATCACCCCACACCATATTTTTGATAATGGAGAAGTCATACGAGCATGTCTTTAGTCCCTTTATTTAGACATTATTTAAAGTAATAATAAAAACAACATTTGTAGCCTACAGAGCCCTTTGTGGGGTTGTCGAGTGGTGTTCATTTTTATCACTTCCATTATTTAGGAGTAGTTCTGTTTACTTCAAATGTTTAGCTCCTTTTATTCACTATTGTACATGGAGGTCATTCTAATCTGTCCATATAGCACAAGAAATAATCGCACACAGAATGATTCACACAAGAAAGGTTCTCGGTAGCTACGCACATCCTAACCTTTAAAAAAAAGTCTGTATATAAACTACCAGTGAGCTGTGTGCTCAGGAGACTGTTCAGTCAACACGGCCTGTGCAGATACTCAATACTGCTGCTATGGTAGCTTTATATGAAGCTTGTTAACTTATAATAGGCAAGTGCAAATTTTAGCCTAACGCTAAATAAATTAATGAATTTGTCGGTTTTCTGCTGCTCATCTGGCAGAATTTATTTAAACCCCTAGGGAATTATTGTTAGAAACTGTTGAATAACCATAATGTTGCTCCTGGTTTTCCATCATATACTTTGGCCAGTTTAGTCATGGATCAGGATTTTATTTGCATGCTATCTGGAAACAAAAAGGTCTTAAAAATTCTAATTTGAGTCAGTAAATCTGCAGAAAACCCGATTTCAAAGTCTAATGTAGAGGGAACTAAAAGACATTTTTGCACATGCATTAGTGGCATCCACTACAGAGGTGATCTGTGAATGGCTTTTCCTTTCCGATCCTGCAGAGGGAGTCCTAGCTCTATCCACCAAGTCAAGGAGCTCCTCACATCTTGCTCATGCAGTATTGTTTCACATATGCTCCTGTGTAAAATAGTTTTATGTTCTTAAGTTACAGCTATTAATTAATTAGCAGATGAGGTATATGTATATTTTTAACCTCATCATGGTTGAACATTGTGACTGTTGGACCATTTTCATCACATTAGCCTTATTAGTATTATCTTAGCACATCATAGTTTATTTTTTCCTTTTTGAAATCAAATGTTAATGTGTGTCAAAAAGCTGCTGAAAATGATGAGATATCAAACTAGTGGTCCTCAAATGTAAAAAGTATCATATGGTTAAAAGAATAAGAAATATTTGAAATGCAACTTCTTGCTGGGTTTTATTGACCTGAGAAGAAGCTCGGTCATAGACATGACAGACATCTCAGCTTTGTGTTAGATTTGATCCTGATGGGGGAGAATTGCTTGGTGATGCAAAATGTGAATTCCACTGGGAATCTGGAAAGATGCCACCAGGCTGCTTAGTGGTCTCTGTACAGAGCGAGGGCTGAACGCTTCACAGACCCAAACTTCACCCCGCTTACCTGCAGCTTTTGGACCCTTAACAAAACACCTCCACTCAAATGCTCACACCCTTTACCTGTTTGGCTGCTGAGACCCTGGAAGGAGCGAGGTCCACACATGCTGGCAGATCCCTACATGCCTCCCACTGGCAGCACTAACTGAGTTCCCCAAAGGCATCACTGGCTGAGAGGGGTTGAGGGCTTTTGTTTTTTCCCCCAAAGCTCTTCTACATGATTTCTTCCTTGGAGTGCACACTCCTCAACTTTAAGTAGCTTTCAGCTCTCTAATGTAGACACTTCCGCAACTTCTGACCCAGAGAGCAGAGCTACTGTCAATCTACAGAGCTGTTTTGTCCAGCAACCTTGGAGGCCTTGGCACTCACAATGCAGAGCAATTAACTCACCGAGAGTGGCCACATAAATTTGTATTCTGCTATTTGTACAGTGCTGTATTTCACAATTCAACTGGCACTCTCAATTTTTTGACAGGCTGCAGTGCTTTGGAAAACAACAAAACAACTGCATATTTGTCCTGTACTATTCAGGAATCAGAAAGTTTTGGCCATGACGGGAAGACCTACAGCATTCAGATCTAACTCTGTGAGCAGTCGTTAACAGCAATGCGAAGAAAGGAAGATTGTCTATTGGGAGTGATACAAATACGTTTTTGTGATTTGGGAAGTATTTTTGGAATGGGTTATAAGGTTTGAGAGCAGGCAGATTAAAAAAAAAAACATGAGTCTCATCAGCTATTAATAACTCAAAGCACTCATCAATTTTCTCAAAACAAAAACAAAAAACAGGACAGTCATCTGTCCCTGAACTTTATGGGTGATTTCTACCCACTGCATCCAGATGCTGTTTCTGGCTGTATGGTGCTGAAATGTCTGCATTATACACTGATTTGCCTTGATGATGAGAAAGTGCTACCCTGCAGGCTGCTCTCTCCTCTGTAAAAGGATTAGTGAAGTCTTATATAACTGCTGCTGCTGCTGCGCAGTCAGTTTTACATTCTCAGCTCCAGCAAGAAAAAAAAAATCTGTCCCTCTCATCCTATAATTCATTATCATTCTACACACCATGGAGTAAACATTGGATTAATTACCTCCAGTGGTAGCTAATATTTCTCCAGGGTTGTTGTCACCCCTTCCTTGAAATCTCACAAAAAACTACGGAAGTGGTCCTTGCATTTAGAGCGTTTACCACAGGTATGGAAACGATGGCCTGCAGTATTCTAGTGTACTAGTAAATTATAGTTATTGGGCTAAAACCTGCAAAACCATTATTATAGTCTTGTGTTTACCATATATTGCAGTCAAAGTTGCTTGGGAAAAGGAAGTTATGTGCTTGAATTGTAAATGGTTTTTTTTTTCTTTATCTTCAACATCATCTTCCTCTTCTCTCGGCAGACATTCATGCAGAGTTGCCAGTGCTCAGAACACGTGTGTGTCCCCTCCTGAGACTGCCATTTATTGAGACTAAAGCGTGACTAAATATATCAGAGTCATGTCAGAAGCACAAAACATGCTGGGTAATTTAATGTGACAGCACCCCACCCCCATTCTTTTTAGTGATTTTCCTTTTTCCACAACTGTTCTGTTGGATGGATTCCCATGAAATTGGGTACACACATTTGTCCAGCCCTTTGGTTTGTGACTAAATACCTGCAAAACTAATTACATCAGACTTAGCTACTGGTGTTAGCAACTAGCAATTGTTGAGATGGTAAACATGGTAGAACTGAACATCTGCATAGTAGTAAGTCTGATTATGTTAGCATGCTGATGTTAGTATTGTCACAGAGCTGTTAATGTGACTACTGACTCTGGTTACAACCTGGCAACCCAAGATTTGTTTTTCTTAATGGCTTAAAACATATGAGGGAACATGCCAACACTGGTCTATAAAACTCAAGCCTTCATTTGGAGGTAAAACTTTGCAGTAGTGTTGCCAGTAGTCCCTTATTGCACATGACGTTTGTGGTAAATATGTTGGAAATTGAACAAAGAAGTCTCTTTGTAAACTGTGATGGTGGTTTACAGCAAAAACGTTTTGTTGAAGGTTTCTTTAGAGCTTGTCTGACCATCTGAATGCTTGTGTTTCTTGCCTTGTCAGACTTCTTTTCAGATGTTGCTGCTTTACCAGATCTCAGCAATTAACTTGGTAAGTACAATCTTGTCATCAATAGGAATGTGGCCAAAACTGAAACTGTAAGAACTAGATTGAAAAGGGAATTTCCCTGCACAATTTACTCTAAGGTTTAATTGTGCAGAAAACCCAGTGGGCCTTTTTCAACAGCATCCCAAACTCCAAAACCCACTCAGAGCCTAGGAGGAGTTAACTGGGACACCAAGTGGAAAGAGGAGGGATTTTTTTTCTTTAACAGCCATTTACTCCACCGCATTCACAGAGGGTCCACTGTTTGGTGCCCAGAAGAGAGTAGTAAGACCGGCCGAGGGGCCCCTGGTCACCACAGAATGGAGCAAAACACAACAATCCCTTTATTCAGCTGTTTGGACCTGCCATCTGAACAGCAGCTCGTCATTAAATTAACATCACAGCAGGCACTCACCCTGGCCCTTGCTTCCCAGAGCATTGTGGTGCACTCAGGAGGAAAATCATTCATTCAGGGGGATACCAGGTCAAAAAGCAGAGGTGGTTTAGATTCAACCCAGCAGCGTCAGTGGTGAGGAATGGGAACAGTCGCCGAGCCACCGAGTAGAGGCTGGGTGTTGAAAGGACAACCTTTTAATCCCTGGCAGCCGTGACGGACAGAGACAGATTTGCTTTTTGTTTTTTGTTTTTGATGTTGTGCCACTTTCTCGCCATATCCACTCTGACAGGACAAGTCCACGCCAAGCGCTCTGACTGCTGTTGAGGCTGCAGCTCATTACACTTCAGTCAGGCCGAGGCTGTGTTTGCCCAGACCATAAATCTGCACCTGCTTTGTGGGATGGTCTTAAATACGTTTCCCAGTGGTTTTCTAGTGCTAGTATGATAACGGTGCACTTCCTAACTCATGTAATCCAAGAGTAGATTAGTGCCTGAACAGCACTGAAACACTGTTTAAGTAAAACAAAGGCTAAATTATTTGACAAGACAGAAGATTTAGAAGAAAATTGAACACAGTCATTTATAAATATACGTTGTGTATATCTATCTGGAAAGCTGCATCTAAACTGTGTATATATATATATACATTTTTATATTTATAAGTACTTTATGCACATTCCTTTATCTTGTTTGCACATTGTTTTCCTTTTTGTTCTCTCAGTCTTATCTTGTTTACTCGTCTTCTCATTGATTTACCTGGCCAATAAAGCTGATTCTGATCTTTTCACACTTTAAAATGAACAGCTTTATCCACCCTGCCTGTGTGAATGGATTTCTCTATTTTAGTAGGTTCTCTTTGCTTCACACTCTTGACACTGGAAAATCTTTCTTGTGGAGATAAAAACAGCTCATCAGAGAAGGAAAGAGGAAAAACAAGCTAATATAGAGAAAAGATTAAATACAGGTAGTTGATAATGGCATTAGCTTTTTGTTTTGTAAAGAAGACGGAGGAGTTAACCTTGGGTTTTTGGTGTCAGTCACTTGTGCTGTAAATCATCCTTACTACAGGTCAACATATACAGTGCCTTGCGAAAGTATTCGGCCCCCTTGAACTTTGCGACCTTTTGCCACATTTCAGGCTTCAAACATAAAGATATAAAACTGTAATTTTTTGTGAAGAATCAACAACAAGTGGGACACAATCATGAAGTGGAACGAAATTTATTGGATATGTCAAACTTTTTTAACAAATAAAAAACTGAAAAATTGGCCGTGCAAAATTATTCAGCCCCCTTAAGTTAATACTTTGTAGCGCCACCTTTTGCTCCGATTACAGCTGTAAGTCGCTTGGGGTATGTCTCTATCAGTTTTGCACATCGAGAGACGGAAATTTTTGCCCATTCCTCCTTGCAAAACAGCTCAAGCTCAGTGAGGTTGGATGGAGAGCATTTGTGAACAGCAGTTTTCAGTTCTTTCCACAGATTCTCAATTGGATTCAGGTCTGGACTTTGACTTGGCCATTCTAACACCTGGATATGTTTATTTGTGAACCATTCCATTGTAGATTTTGCTTTATGTTTTGGATCATTGTCTTGTTGGAAGACAAATCTCCGTCCCAGTCTCAGGTCTTTTGCAGACTCCATCAGGTTTCCTTCCAGAATGGTCCTGTATTTGGCTCCATCCATCTTCCCATCAATTTTAACCATCTTCCCTGCCCCTGCTGAAGAAAAGCAGGCCCAAACCACGATGCTGCCACCACCATGTTTGACAATGGGGATGGTGTGTTCAGGGTGATGAGCTGTGTTGCTTTTACGCCAAACATAACGTTTTGCATTGTTGCCAAAAAGTTCGATTTTGGTTTCATCTGACCAGAGCACCTTCTTCCACATGTTTGGTGCGTCTCCCAGGTGGCTTGTGGCAAACTTTAAACGACACTTTTTATGGATATCTTTAAGAAATGGCTTTCTTCTTGCCACTCTTCCATAAAGGCCAGATTTGTGCAGTATACGACTGATTGTTGTCCTATGGACAGAGTCTCCCACCTCAGCTGTAGATCTCTGCAGTTCATCCAGAGTGATCATGGGCCTCTTGGCTGCATCTCTGATCAGTCTTCTCCTTGTATGAGCTGAAAGTTTAGAGGGACGGCCAGGTCTTGGTAGATTTGCAGTGGTCTGATACTCCTTCCATTTCAATATTATCACTTGCACAGTGCTCCTTGAGATGTTTAAAGCTTGGGAAATCTTTTTGTATCCAAATCCGGCTTTAAACTTCTCCACAACAGTATCTCGGACCTGCCTGGTGTGTTCCTTGTTCTTCATGATGCTCTCTGCGCTTTAAACAGACCTCTGAGACTATCACAGTGCAGGTGCATTTATACGGAGACTTGATTACACACAGGTGGATTCTATTTATCATCATTAGTCATTTAGGTCAACATTGGATCATTCAGAGATCCTCACTGAACTTCTGGAGAGAGTTTGCTGCACTGAAAGTAAAGGGGCTGAATAATTTTGCACGCCCAATTATTCAGTTTATGGACAGGTTGGGTCAAATACCCCCTGACATATCCAGTGTGTGAATGAACCAAATTTCAGTAAAGGCTGAATCATTTTTGAGACATTTAAAGAAATGTTTGCACTGTAGCTTAGAAGCTTAGAATCACCAATCCATCTATCTACCCATCCGTCCACAAAACACAACACTTTTTCCCCAGGAAAATTCAGCCAACTCGTCCCAAGATATTTTCTCACATTGTGTCTGTTCTTTACATCAGCTATGACCAGACAACCTTTAGATGGGGACACATGCTGTGTATCTTCATCAAATGGCTTCAGTGATGTGAAGTAGCAGTTGTTTGTCCTCTTAGGTTTCCAAAATCCGAAGTCTATTATACTGCACACCGTGAAGACATTCAGCATGCAGAAGAACCAGAGCTTGGCTGGTTGTATCATCAGTCTGGCATATTAATTGATAATGAACATAATTAGTTGCTGCCCTATAATAGATGACAAACTTAGGCTCAAGTAGAAACATGACTATGTGCTTATTCCCTAACGCCCTCTAGTGCATACACCTAGAAAATCATGGGAAACAATCAAACTACTAAGGTCATATATATATATATATATATATAGGTCTATATAGACTGATCTGATTTAGAATAAACCTATCATTTTGCCCCAAAATCTATTTTCATATTATCGAAGCCTCTACATGCCAACAGTCCCATTATTGAACCCTTGTCGGGACTGTTTTATCCAACCAAACAGGCCTATTCAGTTTTACTATCATTACAAAAACCACCAAGGTAAAAACCGTTGATGAAGATGGAAACAGCTAATGTTACAACTGCAAATCAATGTTCAGTGAAAAATGAATGACTGAAATAAATAGTTGACTAGAGTCAGACAGAACTGTGAACAGCAGCCTGTTTGTGGTCAAAATCTATGGACACCATGATGCGTGTTTGTTAGAAACAGACACGCATCATGAAACTAATCATTTCTTGAATGTTAACATCTGCTGGTAAATTTGCCTTAAGTAGAAAAACATTGTTAAATATCATCTTTAGCAGTAGGTTCCTGCTGCTTTGTCATCAGTTTAGGATTGTTTTACCACCACAGTGTATGTTTGTATTTCCATATAGCCATCATAGATTAAGACATGTTGATCGTAATGTTTTTAAAAAAACATGAAGGTGCCATGTGCAGAGCTGCTGATAGGAGTTATCAAAGTCTTAATAACATGACTGTTTGAGCTTTAAAGTGTTTTGTTTTGGGTGTTTTTTTTTTCAGTCTCCAGACATTACAGCTCAATTTATCACAAGTCAGTTACTAAACCAAAACAATGCAAAAAGCTGAAGGCAACAAAACCAGTGTAGTGACATCTTTGACCACACATTAAACACACTGAACAGCCAAAAGAGCAGCAAAACTGGTAAATTGAATTAATACATTTTAAACTGAGACCTTTTTGTGTGTCTGTGAATGCAGTGTGCTTCCATATCCTCAATACAAACCTCTCAGGCTGTTGTTCCAAGTTTAGAATTGTTTGAATGTAGTTTGTTAATTAAACATTTTAGGCTACTTGTAATACTTTTGAGAATCCATTTAATGTATTTTTCATTTAAAAAAAAAGTCTACATTATTACAGGTGTCTCTATATTTGTGTCTTCCCCAGCTACACACATAAGGGTCAGATTATTAGGAACACCTCTGAATATAATGTAGTCCAATACAACAGCACCTATAACTATGACCCCAATGATAAACATATAAGAGCTTTATGTCCTGCAATGTCCCTGACTTGAACCAAGTCTTTTCCACCAGACTGGGTCAGTTGCTGTTCAGAGTTGACAGATAAACATAGTGTGTGATGTGGAATGATTTTAATCTTAAATCAGATCACTTTCAAAATATTCAAAAACTGTTTTATGTCAAAGGGAATGTGTTGAACACATCTGTTAGGCCTCAAACAGCGAGTACTGCAATGTAAACATTTAATAGAAGAAAGCTCCATATTAGAAGAGGCTCTGACACTTGTTATAATTTTTATTGGTTGCACCCATTGAACATATTGAATCAGTATTTAATTGAAGCAGTTGATGATTACATCCTATGAAAACAACTGGCACTGGGGTTGCAGATATTGGTATCTAGCTACTGTACTGCAGACACAATTTTCACTACAAATGACCAGATTACAGAGATGCTGCTAGTGTACACAGAGACTATATGCAGACTGATACTGACAGATTATGCAGGATACTTTATAAATGTGTTAGTGTGTTAGCGTGACTGAGTATTGTGGGTCTATCTGGACATCGGTCTCGTCCTGATGATGGCTGAAGAGCTTCATTCCCGGATGTAAATTCGTGTGCACACGACGTCATCTGCCCCAAAGGTCTGTTGGAAACAAAGATATTTCTGTTTTAGACACCTGATGAGGATTAGTTTTTATGTTTAGGTAGCCGGAAAAAAAGTTATTTGCTATTCTAAAACGTTCTGCTTCCTGTCAACAATATTACTGATGTGGGGTTGTAGCTGTTCTATCCATCTGTTTGCTTCTAACTTTGGACAGTCACAGCTATCCTGTGGACAGCTTTTTTAGCTGAGCTGCAGTGAAGAGACAGTAACAAAGATAGAAAACGTCTTTGTGAAAAGACTTTGATTTTGAAAGGTGCCTACTTGATTCATCAAACTCAGATTGCTCAGTCCTTGTGTTAGCTTTTTACACAGCACAAGGGCTGTCGATTTTGGCCCCATCTCTTCCAGTGTAGTCACATTAGAAAGGGACTGCTTCACGGCCAATGTGGAGAGGAGAAATGATATCAGCAGCCAATAACCCTTTCAATCTATGTATGTAAGTGTTGTATTATGACAGACTGGATTAAATTGGTAGCTAATAGTTACAAAATCTGCCACATCTGTGTCTAAATCTACTTTCATTTCCCTTCATCTTAACCTGTTTTGCGCATGGTGCCCGGGAGTTTTGACTGAATAAAAGCGTCTTGACAAATAAAACTGGTCATTTCACTTTCACTGTTCACTTTTTTCCTACAGCTGTTTCTTGTTGTCCTCCGCTGTCAAAGCTGCTGTGGCACCAAAACTAGGTCAGTTGTCTCAGGTGAATGATGATGAGATTTACTTAGTGCTACCATGGCAACAAAGACAAGTTGCATGGCCTGAGAGCTGATTTCATACCATATGCCTGTTTGTAAACTCTACAATAGGATGGATGAATCTGGCTCCACGCTGGTTTTGGGGTTAATGGTGATTAGAAAAAGTCAAAAGCTGGAGTGTAGACACCGTCTGTCTCAGATGATGGTGTGAGATCAGGGGGTGCTGGGGAGAGAAGAGCAGCTGTTGTCACAAGGTGGCCGGATCAATCTCTATTAATGCGTTGTGGCTGCCTGAAGTGTCACCAGAGCGTCAGGCGTTATAACACATTCTGCTTTTATCACCAAAACACCAGATAGGTTTTCTGTGTTCCGCGTTCTTTTCAGTTTGACAATCGGAGCAATGAGGAGCTTCCAATGGAATGTAGAGATACTGTGTAAACACAGAAGAGATTGTTGTGCCCCTCTTCCCAGTGCTTGCTCCTGGCTTGTGATGTAAAGCTCTGCAAACATCCTGTGACAAGTTTTTCAGCATCTAAACCTTCTATATCATTGTTTCAAGCTTTTGCCTTCTGGATATTCAGGAACAACAGAGCGGAGCGTGGGAGCGTTGAGCACTGAGAGGGGAAAGCTGTTGAGTCCCTGAGAGCTGTTCATCCGGTCCGTTTGTCTTGGGCTGCTCCCCTGTACATTGTTCAAGGGACTTTGGACCCATTGACTCCTGCCCATATTAATCTGGGGGTATTACTGTGATGTCAGTGTAGCAGCTCTTCTTGTTCTCCATTCACATCTCCCCGCGGGGTGGATGAAAGTTCAGCTCCTTGGGAAACGAGCTCTCTCATTTCCTTTATGGATGAATCTCCAGGGTGACTTCATACACTCCCTGCCTTGTTTTATTAACCATTTCTCAAACAGAGCACGCTAGCTGCTTGAGATCCCATTTTAATACATCTGGTGTCTTCAGTGCCTCCAGGAGAACAAGCCACACACAGTAACAGACAAACCATACAGGTTAGCCACCCATCAGATTGCACTCTCTCTCTGCTTGGAATAACATTTTGGAGCTAACATTTTAATCTTTCTTTTCTCTCTGTTGAGCCCAGCAAAGACCACACTCAGAAATATCCTTATTAATCTAGTGAAGGTTTGTCTCTGTAAAGTGTTTAATGTCTTTTCTAAGCAGTAATCTATTAAGCGGCTTTCAGTGAGATGATGACTCATTGCTGTGCACCCACCAGTATGAGCTCGTCGCCATTCAGCTCTCTGGTCCAGTAGGTTTTGGGTCCATCTCCAACCACCAGAGTCTGCTGACAGCGGACCTTGTTCTCAGACTCCCAGGTGGCGAGGCTCTGCAGGAGGAGGGACAAGAAGGTGGGAAGATCAGTACGTTTGTCTGAGTGGCACAGTGGTGAAACACCTCCCCAAAGTGTAAGGCTCACTTCTTACTACCAGCCAGCATTAATGATCAGTGTGTTTGTGTGTGCTCTGTTGCACCTGTAATCACAAACAACAGTGAGGTCACACTGTAATGACACACCCAGGAGTGTGTGTTGACCCCACCGCACTAACACAGATTAACTGGAGCTTTTTAACTTTGTAGCAGTGTCAGTCAGACCTCTGCTCTTTGCCAGTCACAGATCAGTGTGTAATCCCTTTAGCCACAGGGCAGCAGGCCTCAGCCAGGCCCCACTTAGGCCTCTCTTACCAACCGTTCCACCTGAGAGGCCATCAACACCCCCCAGCACATGTGGCAGTGTCAGCAGGTGCAGCCTCCTGCAGGTTTTAGCTCCAGTCTGGCGTATGATTGCCACACATGTGGGCAATGTGCTTGTTGCTGAGAGCCGCTACCTCTGTTGCAGTCAAAAACAATTAAGACAGTGATAAGTTTTTACATGTGCTGGCTTTGTACTCCAGCCCTCTAGATTTACAAAGACTGTGAAGTTATTATTCTTAATGTTTACATCCACAGCAAATGTTTTAAAAATATTGCTTGTTTCACAAAGCATCCTAGTTTTAGGGGACAAAACATGACTGCACAACTTAACATAAGCTTAAAGATATACTAGCAACACTTAGATTATGAGCTTTTCTTCAAATTTGAGAAAGGTAATTTATTGTGGCCAAACCAACAGAAAATTGTCACTGGACTCTGAAGTTCCCCTCAATACAATGCAGAATTTTAGCATCTTTCAGCTCATTATTTTGGTTTTTTAGTCCAACTTTACTGTTTAGATTTAAAGTCTCACCACTCTTATGTTGCCAGCTTGTGCTGCTGCCTCCATGTAAAACAAAACAAATGTGATCATGCTTTAAAGTCCTCGAATGTCAAATGCTCTGCTGCAACCATTCTCATTGTTTGCTTGTTTTAGGGATGGCTTGCCGTCAGGGAGAGAAGAAGAAGAGTATTTGCCAGAATAAAACATATATGTTTATCAATTATGATCAAAAGCTTTATGCTGTCCTAAATTTGGGGATGAATGAAGCAAAAGACATATCATTGTCTTAAATACTCTCTTAAGTCACTGTAAATAAAACCACTTTGTGCAGGCGAATGCTGTGATGCTGATGCTCAAACCCTAACAAGCAGATGTGGCAAATGTATGACGACAACGCGACATGTCTGTTTTGTAACAGAAAGGCGTCACGTGGTGAAAAAACCACAGTGAGAACAGTCTAGCCCTGCCCAGTACCCAGCATGCTCTAGGGCACAGACAGAAGGAGTCACACTGTCTACTGGAATCCGAAATAACTTGTGTCTGCTCTGCCTGACTGCAACATGTTGTTTGTACCATAAAACAATTTCGGCTCTTGAATGCTATTTATGCGGTATCACAGGATAGACACACATCCAACCCTTAATACATTTTGTGCTGCACATACATAATTTCAATTTCTCAGACTGCTGGCTGAATTTTGTTGTTGAATTTCACAGTTTCCCTTTCCTATATACAGTATTTCTTTTCCACAAGCATGAATATGAATGCTTTCTGTAGCCCAACAAGGTTTTATTGTTTTGTCCAAGATAGTTGTTACAGAGCAACAGTCCTGCAGTTGTGAGAGATGCAGCGCTTTGCTCAGGGACATTTAAGCTGTCTGTTGACCCCTGGTCACTGTGCTTGTGTCATCGTATATGTTGTTTTGCTCTACACATCTGTCCATTTGTGTGAGAGGGCAACACTGGATTACATGTTAATGCAGTTTACCTACTTGTCCTTACTGACACTGAACACTGATACTAGTTATTTGGCAGAAGGCGATAAACAGATGTCAGCATCTGCACCATTAATCCAAGATTCTTTGGTAGCAGTGTATTTTTGCTGTAACATGCTGTCTCTAAATTCTTAAACTTTGGAGCACTGACTTCCCTCATTGTATAGGTGCAATAAAACCATGAATTGAGTTCCTATCAACAGCATGTTCTAAACCTTTTTACAAAAGGAAAAAATAAATACATAAATAAAAAATGTCTTATATGTCTCTGCCTACTTTGCATAGGAGCTCTCACTGTGCATCAGGATGTGAGAAACCCCCCTCAGGGCCTGAAGAAGTTCAGAGAGAAACTCGTCATCCCATCTCAAGCTGCACATCCAGCTGCACTGACATGAGGATGATACCAATAGGTGAGTCTGTGAGGGGGTACTCATTTTTCTTAGCAACAGTAGCACAGAGAAAGCTTTGCTGACCTTGAATGCATACACAAAGAACATGAGGAGAATCTAAGTGGGAAAAGTTTGAAGGATGACTGGATGTGTGACTGGATATGTGTTCCTATAATGCCATTAATAAATGTATATGGATAACTGTGATATCACGCTTCACAGAAATGAGGTGTACAGGACTTCACATATGAATAAAGAGAAAAGAACTGTGTTGCAGGTGTAGGAAAGCATGAGGAAGGTCAAACAGGGAAATACGAGAGGGCGCCATGAAGTGCATTAGTTACTAGGGTGAAATGTTCACTTTGTTAAGTTTTAAAAAATGTTTTAATCGATAATAAAAAAAAAGGCACCATACCAGCGGTGCCAAGGCTGATGTTAAATACACCTGCACATGATCGATGATACGTTAAGCTGTGAGTTTTAATTCAGTGCTGCACTACAGTTCATGACCTGTTGTTATAATCTGCAGCTCTACCTTGCACTTTCGTCCATCCACTGTCTCCTCATCAAATTCTTCACCGATATGGAAGTTGATTTCCGTGGTGCGCACACTGGTGGACGTTTTGATGTAAAACTGCTCTCCATCCTGATGAATCTCCACATGGGGGTTGGAGGCTGCCGCCACAGCCACCTTCCTCAGCATGGCATTCACTCCTGAGCAAGTACAACACAGGCCAGAGCATCCACATCATCGTTTTTTAAAATAAAAATGAATATAGAGTACATGTGTGTCTAAGAGAGGTAGTGAGAGACAGACACAGATCAGCACAAAAAGTAGACAGAGAGATGAGGTGTTTGGTGTTTGATGACAGGTTGCCTCTTTTTATGTTGTTGGTTTTAGAAATTCCACCAAAACAACTTCCAGTGCACTCTGTTGTCTTTCTGTTCTGCCTCATGCTCGACCCCACCCAGATTTAGATCTCTCTGGGCTGCTATGCCACATTTGATCAGGCACACGACATTAATTATAGCAGCACACACTGGTTGCATATCTTCTTCTACTGGTGTGTGTGTGTGTTTAGATGAAAGTTCCACAAGCTTAAACTTTTCTCAAGAATGACAGAAATGTAGATGTTTAAAACCACAAAATGCTCAGTGGCTCTGACAGAAACCTCATTTAATTTTCAAACCTGAGAAAAATCTGTATGTATGGGGTACATACATACTTACAAAAACCTAAGACAAGGTGAAAAAGGCCACTTAGTCACCACTAATGTCTAACATTTCAGGTGATCCTAATGCTTAATTAGTCTGCAGTTTGTTTTGCTTATGCATTTGTCAACTGCAGTCCCCACCATCTCAGACAAGTCCTACAGAATCAGTATTCTAGCTCAGTAGTGAAATTGTGCATGAACTGTGCAGTCTTTTAACATTTGATCAGACACATAAGCCTGATCTCACTTAGCAAACTGAATCTGATCAAGCTGTACACACTCGGCGTGTTCCTCTGCTATCACTATGGATAAAACTGTCCCCACCTACAGCGTGTTCCTCTGCTATCTGCACTATGGATAAAACTGTCCCCACCTACTGTAAGGAAACCTCCAAAGCAAAAGATAATTAAAAAGATGTTGATGGAAAGTGGTGGCCATGCAGAACAGGAATTCACATTAGTTGCCCATCACAGGTCTCCATTGAGTAAAGCCCTTATGTGAGAGCAAATGAGTGATCTGCTCCAGCAGATGTGGTTAATGTGTTCATGAATGAATGAGGCGCTAAACTTAGAGAGTGACTGATCTGACCAGAAAGGCACTTGCCTTATAAACATCATCAAAACAAAACAATGAAAATGCTGGTGGGGAGGTTCTGAATTAGTTTGGTGAATGTTCTGAGTCAAAATAAATGAAGAACAAACATTTCGAAGCATCCATGTGGTGGATTTCTGATGGGCTTTCAACATAAATGTGTTTGCAGGAAGATTTTGGGGGCTTACTCTGTAATTTTAGGTTATTAAAGAGAACCTTAGCGTAAAGTATACATCTGATATTAATCTTTATTTGTCAGTATGTCAACATATCCTTTGAAAAACCAACAATGCACTACTCTGTCTCTCAAAACCTTATGCCTTTCCTAGTTAGTCTGTGGCTGGCTGGCAGCACCTAGCCCACAGTAAATCTTTACAAACCGAACATCAATACATAGTTTCATGCTTGAAAGAAAAGGGTCAATAATTTCTTAGGACAGCTGGGCATTGTAGCGTTTATCAAATGTAACTCATTGAGGACTAACAGTGCATTTGTTTTGTTGTAGACTAGTTTTATTTGATTTAATAATTTTACTAGTGCACACTATCAGAGCTCTATGACTCCCAGGAATAAATCCCTAATACTCATTCTAGTTGGTAGGATACTGTTTTGTTAGCAATGAGAAAAATGTCAAATATCAGGTATCCTTACAGTGTTTAAACCTCAAAGCAGAAGTCTCTCAGAGCAACAGCAGATTTGCACTTGGATAAAGATGAAATCTTATGTTTGTTCTGCCAAGTGCTACAGCAGTGCACAGCAGACTCAGTTATCATCAAGATACAAAGCTGTTCCCTTTTCAACTTAATTCATCCAGTTTATGCTAAAATAGGAGCCATTCATACCTAAAAGGTTCAAACTGTAATCCAGTTTGGTGTCAACACTTCCTGGAGAGGTGTTGAAGCAGCTCCCTGTTCTCACAGTGAGAATTCTCCCTAAAGATTTCTACAATATTCTGAAAGCACCCAGCCTTTTGCTGCACTCTGTCTGCGCAGTACCGGCGTGACTAAACACTGCAACACAATTGAATGACCCAGTTAAACTGGTTCAAATTTAAACCATCACAATCATCAGTTAAGACTAAGAAGGATTAAAAAACAGGTCACAAGAGAACAACACTGGGCTCCAGGGACCCCCTGGCATTGCTAATGCATGCCCTGCTTAATACTTAACATGAATAATGTTGTGCCCCCCTCTTCTCTTCATGTAACAATACCACGTCTGTTTACGCTGGAATTTATCATCCAGTGTTTTTATATATCTGGTAAAGCCCAGGGATTTCCCTTCAGCAGCATCTCTGGCTTCTTTTCCCAGGGAGTTTTTCCAAACAATATTATGTCGCAAGTCAGTCAAGCTGTTTCCAAGGAACAAGAAAAGCCTTTCTCTATATGGACATGATGGATAGTCAGTCTCATGCAGGGATGTAGGACTGGCTGTGAAGGGGGAGAGGAGTGGGAGGAAAGAGAAACAGAGGGCTTACCCAGGGCTTTGAGAAGTTCATCAAAATTCTCGCTCTTCTTCATCTTCCAGGTGCCGGCAAAGTTAGGCATGTCTGCTGAGGATGAGTGCAAGGGCTGCAGAAGGAACCTGCTCCACGCTGTGATGTCTGTCTCCCCCTCTGTCCTCTCTCTTCTGCTTCCCCTTTAATCTTTCTCACCCTCCTCCTTCAGAGTGTGCCGGTCTCCTCTGCTCTGGGCTCAGCTTCTTGTTCACACTGTTACACCCAGGTGTTGCTCTGGGTATCTTTTTATCTGTTTATTTATTTTAATTCATACAGAAGGACACACACTCTGCTGCTTCTTCGTCTGTGTCTCTGTGTGCTGGCTGTAGCCTCGTCCTTAGCTCCTTTATAGCTTCTGTTTTTAATGGGAGTTTGAGGAGGTCCCTCCCCCTGGAAGCTCCGTCCCGTTAATACAGTAGAACGAGACTGACGTGTCTGCTTCCTCCGGGGATCAAAACAACTAAAGCTGATCTTTTAAAGTGTATTTATAGTTTCATTTTGTCAACTACTCAAATATGTATTGTCATTTTTATAAAGTGGAGGTCGGATAATCACTGACAACTTTTGGCAACAGGGTTCAAAACCTTTTCAAAAAAAGGTCTTTGAACTTTTTATATAATATATTGTTCAAAATGAGTGGTTCAGAAGAAAAAGCTTGTAAACTTTGAAAATGTTTATTCTGGAATGTGCACTCATTAACAGGGACACGTATTTATTATGTATGCATTTAATATACACAGTAAGTGCACGGTGTGACCATTTTGGCTTGCAGCCAAACTATCACACTCAGTTTTTGTGTTACAGCATTTCTGAGGGTGCTGTGTTGACCTTTTTCTTTTTTGTTCTGTACCATCATTGACTAAATAAGTGCAAGATATTACACATATATATACAACACTTTAACGAATTTCAACAAGTTACTCCCAAGCTAAGCCACATGCATGGAACAAAGAGATGGTTTGTTGCAACAATAATAACTCACCTGGATGTTTTCCTGTTGATTTCCTCAGGCTTGGACAAGGAATTGTGTATTTATTACGTCACCTATGCATTGTATTGTATTAATTATTTATTAGTCTGTGTCATGCAATGTAGAATCAGTGTAATCATTTGGGGTTTTGCAACTGCTGAGTTTGAATGAGCTTTGGAGATGCTTTTGTGTAGTGTACTTATTGTGGTGCTGTAAGAAAAAAACAGCTGAGGTGCCCTTGACCAGGTGTTTTAACCTGAAACCTCACGTGAGCTGCTTGACCAAAAATGAAAGAAATGGCTGTAAACTGTGACAAAGTGAAGCTGAGCTTTGTTGTAATCTACGAAGGTGTAAATAAAAACTACTAGGAGAGGAAGGCTGGCCTTCACGGCTTTTTAAAATATTTTATTTATACCTTACCCTTGATTCAAAGTTTAAAGGCACTGGTTATAGCAATCTATCAGATGAGATTTATCTCATTTGAGAACCCCAAAAGGCCTGAAAATGAACCATCATTGTCTTTAAGCCTCAGGATAGCAGAGGTCCCTACCTAGACTGATTTATAATGGATAATGTTAGAGGAAAGTGAACCCAATATGGTGCACAGAGAAAAGCAAACCCGAGTCTGAAGAGTAAGCAGAAACATATCCTAATATTTTGACAGTTTCTGCAGCTGCAGTCTGAGCTCCACATTCTCAAAAACAGATGTCAAGATAGAGTTTCAAGAAAATGATTCCTAGTAAAAAAGTTTTTTAAAAAGTCAGCCACTGTGCTTTAAATAACTCCTGAAGTAAAGCTGAAATGGGATGGAAAGGACATCAATGTGCATCTCCTGACAGCTCAGGACCTGAGCAAGGAAGATGAGAGATGCCCTATTTAAAACAGTATGTGTGTGTGTGTGTGAAAGAGAGGGAGTTTGACTGACAGGAATTTTTATTTTGGCCAATAATGATTCTGGTTCTTATACAATTTTACTGCAGCAGATTTTTGTGCTGATCATCAGTGTACATTTATCTGATCACTTTTATTCTTGTACATCCAAAATTTTAGTATCTCACCAAAATGTTTAGGTTGGTTGAGGTGGAAAAGCAACCACTCAACAAAACCGTCCCTTAACTACATCTGTAGTTGTAGTTTGGTGTGCCTGATAACTGGTAACTGAGTGTACACTGTATCAGTGTATCTATTATGCAGACTTGAATGGAATCTATCATTAGACCATTTATCTTCAGGCACTTACATCTGCTTTTATCAGTTCTGCAGGCAGTAATGATCAAAGTGCTATTTTCAGATGAGTGATTCATTCATGTTTTCAGGCAGATACTAATGCTCAGTAATGAACTTAATGTTATGTCATTGGCTGCAGTATGCTGGAATTATGCCTCAAATCACATATAAACAATATTTAAATTAACTTACTGACACATCATATATCTAATGTTTAGTTGCCAGCTGATTGTTCATTTAGGCATAAGTTGCATAAAACATGGAAATGATTGCCAAATGCCTTTAAAAGTGCCACCTCCTTATGTAATTGTCACTTTCTTTTATCTTATTATATTGTGAGTGAAATCTTAAGGGATTTTAATCTTGGCACACTTTCACTGGAAATTGAAATGTCTAATCCAGGAAGAGGTAGAAACTTTTAAGCGGTGTCCAAGTTTTGAGCCATTTAAATCCATCACTATTTTTGACGCGTGAACCTACTTTAGAATGAAAATTTTAAACATCTGAATTTAGATGAGTGGATTCCTAAAATGCCTGATTAACAGTACCGAATATCATTTTGTATTTCATATAAGGATGCCACAATAACTCACATTACACGTACCTTTGGCGGCGATAGTGCGCTTCATAAGAAATTCACCAACCACTTTAAAATAGCGAAGAAGAAGACAGAGCGGAAGTTACGTCAGGTGTTGACATGGCGTCTCACATGTAAATCACCGAGCTCCAAAATTGTGGTGGAACGTCTTAGGAGATTTTAAGGTACGTGTGTTAATAATAAATTTTAAATTGCTTTTACAAGTGTATTGGCAATACAGTGTAGTAAACTGGGCCAAAAACGGATTTTCAACACTAGCAAACACTTTGCTGCCCACTGGTTGCAGCGCTAACCAGAGTTAGCTTGCAACCGTTAGCAGTTGTGTTTTAGTATACAGTAGTGCTGGTCCGAGGTTCGTAAACAGGTGGATAAAATTTTAACTGCAACTTTTATTTGGGGACCAAGACTGGCGTGCTGATATGAACTATGAGGAGAGTGTTTTAGGTTTTCATTTACTGCACACCTTGTTGCACTGCGCTGAAAAATGTATTCGGTTTCTCTGGATTAGAGATGAAGCACTTTTAAATCGGTGGCTGCTGACTGACAAGTAGCCTTTTGTATGAGACTTCAGCTCTGAATGGCAAACCTGTATTATTTGATCAAATCTGGGGCCTGTACTTGGGTTAATGAAAAAGCCCAAAGACTGATTTCTGTGCTAACAAGTCTCAAGACCTGGAGAAACTATTGTTTGCATTGTATATTGTTGGCTTAATTTTAGATTCTATACTCTGGCTTGTGTTTTATTCATTAAATTGCAACTGTTATACAGTGTATAGTTACCATGAAGCTCCATATTGTTGCTGTTATTCTCGTTTTTTTTCTTTTGTGCATACTGTATTTGTCTTATTTGCTCTTTCCTCTTGAAAACTGAACTGAAATTGATTTGTCTATCTGTGTTTTTAGTGTATTCCTTTATTTACCTTTCTTATGCCAAGTTCAATAAAAATGTTAATTGAAAAGCTAAATAAATAAAAAGCTAACACACTTTCATTTTGTTTTTAGGTTTAGGTAATCTAGTTGACGATCAACTCTGACTACCAGGACCAAAAAAATGAGCACTCAAGTAACTAACAAATTCACATTCAAGTCACACTGAACATTCAAACATTGTAAATAAATAAGTAAATAATAATAACTGTAAGCCTGTGCTTTCATTTCAGTACAGCATCCTTTTCAAGCAAGAACATGGTGAGTAGTGTTAGGGTTAAACAGATCTCACTGTTGAACTGTGTAAACCTCCTAATTTAACAAGTTATGTTATACTACTACCACATTTATTGAAACTGTTGTTATTCTGACTTAACATAAGACAAGTAATTGCCAAAAAATATAAGAAGAATGAAATATATAGCAATACAGTAATCAACAAGTATTGAGGCACAGACTAACACATTGTTGGTTTTGTTGTGTATCTATGGGATTTGTTGACAATAAAGCAAAGGTATAATAATGCCAGACTTTTCCTTTAAATAGCTGTTTACAACCAGCACCTGTATTTAGAATGCTGACTGTTTCAACTTGTTTCCTCTCAGCACACGATGACGCTATCTGGACGGCAGCATGGGGTAAAAGTGAGGCGGATGGGTCAGAAACTATCGTCACTGGATCACTGGATGATACGGTGAAAGTCTGGAAATGGTGAGTGTTCTGTTTAACTTGGCTCCTTAAGAGAATGGCATTAAAGTCACCATTCCTGCAGCTTCTGTTGTAGTTGATGTTCTTTTCTCTAACACAACTTAAGATTTAATGACCAATCAAAACCAGTACAGCAGATAAGGTGCAAACATTACAATAGCATATTTCTAAAAAAGGGACAGAGACATCAGATTTTTTTTGTAAACGGGTTATATTAAAGAAAATGAATAAAGACATAACACTCATTAATCACAGTAGTGTGCAAGCAGTTGTTCATGAGGCTTTACATTCAGCTCACAATGAATAAGCACAGATTTTAGTAATGTTTGTTAAATGTGCTGCAGAAATAAACTCGATATGATTTGTGTTGCACTGTCGTGCAGGTCGGATGAGAAACTGGAGCTGCAGTGGACTCTGGAGGGCCACCAGCTGGGTGTGGTGTCAGTGGACATCAGTCACAACGGAGCAATCGCTGCCTCCAGCTCCCTTGATGCTCACATTCGTCTGTGGGACCTGGAGTCTGGAAAACAGATTAAGTCCATGGATGCTGGACCAGGTAAGGCCAGGCCCCAGTAGATCTTTTTTTTTTTTTTTAAGTGATTAATTTGCACTGAGTGGTAGGATAGCACTGTGATCACACTTCCTTCAGCTCTGTATCTGACTATGTAGAGTTGAAATGATTGACTCCCAATTCATTGGCTGATTGACAGAAAAATAAAAAGCAACTATTTTGCTAATAGATGAATCATTTGTGTCAGTTTTCAAGCAACAGTAGCAGATTTCAACTTCATACACAAACTTTTAAATAACTTGGCTCATAAATGTATACTTATAAAAATATAGTTGATTTTACCTTGTTGATGTGGCCTTACTGTGTTGAGTTCACTGCATACAGTTGAGTATTGAGATAAGGCCACTGCAAAGGAAGCTGCCACCCAGTTTGGCCTCAAAACAATCCTGTGGGGAATTGCAACTTGTCTGTGCAGCACACCAAGCTTGTTAGGTTTTACTCTCACCCTTCAAGAACTGTGTATCTTGAACTGAGCTGTACTTCATGTAAATGTCATATTGCCTTTTATTAATGATATTCCATTTCATTCTGTGCTTGGTCTGAGTCAGTGGATTGAAAGCCGTTTTCTTCCTGTTTGGACATACTGTACTTTGGCACAGTATGCAACTCAGCAGGGCAGAGAGTAGGTTTAGAGTTTTCTTCAGAGGCAGTTAGACAAGATACATGAGCTGTTAGTAACCTTGAGGTACATGTTTATAGTTTGCATATGGATACGCACATTATAAAAGCAATGACTAGGTGATACGTGCTTTTGTGTGTTGTTGAATACATATGATGAGTTCTAACCTCCCTCTGTCTTTATGCTCTTCTCTAGTTGATGCATGGACAATTGCCTTCTCCCCAGATTCTAAATACATCGCCACAGGAAGCCATCTTGGCAAGGTCAACATCTTTGGTGTGGAAAGTGGCAAGAAGGAATATTCCCTGGACACTCGAGGGAAATTCATCCTGAGTATAGCTTACGTAAGGAAGCAGAAATTGTCGTTTTGGTCGACTGGGCGGTGCCTTCACCAGCCCAGTCTTGTAATGGTTGAGACCTCTCAGCCTTGGCTTCACATCTCATTCTGAGTTTTCCCTCATTCCACCAAACTGTTTGTGTATGTTTAACTATTAACTTTTACTATCCATCTCTGAAGGTAGATTTTAAAAGCCTGTCTCTAATTGAGTAAATTGACATTAGTTAATGTTTCAATCTGACTTCCTCTTCAGAGTCCTGATGGAAAATATTTGGCGAGCGGAGCTATCGATGGAATCATCAACATCTTTGACATCGCCACTGGAAAGCTACTCCACACACTGGAAGGTAGAATCAGTGGTTAATATTCATCATTTTGGTGTTTCTAACACTGTAACTAGCGATTATTTTTATTAGCAATTAGTGTTTGTTTTTGTTTTTTTGGTCGATGGCTAAAGCATTCAATCTATTCAATATTAGAAAATAGTGAAAAACGTCCATCAAGAGATCCTCAAATGAACCTGCTTTGTTCGTGCAATGGTTGTCAAAGATATTCATTTATAATGATATAAGTCTTATCCTTTTAGCATGGATCTAACAGACTTGAGGACCTTTGCCTTGAACATATGCCAGCACATGAAAATATATATATATATTATTTCAGCAAAACAAACATACACAAACTTGTAGGTTAGGTGTTAATGATGAACAGCCTCAAATTCAGGGATATTTGCACTGCCAGACAACCATGTTGCATCTTTCACAACAGCACAGATCATCTGTATGTGAAGACTGTGTGATTGCATCTCCTCTGTCTCGTCAGGCCACGCCATGCCCATCAGATCCCTCACCTTCTCCCCGGACTCCCAGCTCCTGGTCACAGCCTCGGACGACGGCTACATCAAGATATACGATGTGTGAGTGGAGGCTGGCAGCTAGTCTGGACTCCTGACATCAGTTCAATTCTTTAGATAAGATAGAGCTTCATTCGTCCATTTTTAGGCCAAGGAAAGGCAACAATAAAAATCACAGAAGGAAAGGAAAGGGTGCAGCAGTGTTACGTTACTGATGATACAAATTATAAACAGAAATACACAACATGAATGCTTTAACAGATTCCCTGATATTGTTTTGCAGGCAGCATGCCAACCTGGCTGGTACCCTGAGTGGACATGGATCCTGGGTGCTTAATGTGGCCTTCTCCCCAGATGACACCCACTTTGTCTCAAGGTAAAACAACTTTAAACTAATTAGCTTAATGCTGTTTACATTTGGTTGAATTTCTGGTACTAATACATTACATTTCTGAAACATTAAGTTGAGAAAAAAAAATGGCACACCTAAATCTGTAGCCATTGTTTTACTGTGGCATAGTACTGTACATAGAAGAGAATATAATGGACAGTAGCAGCAAAGTTTCCTGTGTGCATTAGGAGGTTGGCAGAAGTGTCTGTGCACCTCCATGAGCTTTCTCTCTAGCTGTGAAAACCTGTTTTCAGCTCACTGTGTCAAGATAAACAGAGCAGGTCAGAACGTACAAGGTTTGATTCTAAGATGAGCTGTGAAACATTCTAAATGTGTGTGTGCTCCGCTTCTTCTAGCTCGTCTGACAAGAGTGTGAAGGTTTGGGACGCCAGCTCCAGGGCATGTATCAACACTTTCTTCGACCATCAAGACCAGGTGCGTCTATTTCACTAAGTGCGAAAATCTGTCTGGTTTAGGTGCTGATGTGTTGGGAAATCAATATGACCAGTGTGAAGGAATGGCCCCTTACTCAGCCCGTCTCCGTTTCAACTTGGGCAAAACGAGTAATCCCAGCTGTCAGATCTCGTGGGAAGTTTGATCCATTCTCTAATAGAGGCTCTGACTGAAATAGCACAGCTCCTCAGAGAGGAGGTCAGAGGCAGTTCAGTCGGTCATTTGTTTTTGTGTCATCACTGTGCAACTACAAAACCAGAAAATCTACAGGGACAATTTGCTGCTCGAGCTTTGCTTTGTTCTTCCATGTAGAACATTGTTTCAGCCCTTGTCTGCTTAGTTTCTAATTAGAACGAGGTGCATATTTGAATTTTTGTAAAAATTTGAGAGAACATCCTTGACCATTTCATATTTAATGTGGATGCCTGTTTGTGCAGCTGTGGGCTACGGGCTGCCTTAGTTGAAGCTATAATGTGTGAAGCAGAAGCAACAGAAAGTAGAAAATCTAGAAACCATTCAAATGAGCTCATTTAAAATGCAGTATTTACTTTGAAGTGCTGTAATGGGGCCTGGTGTTAATAAATCTGGACTGTGCAGCTTAGTTCAGTTGTATGTATTTTTATTTTTTTGCTTGTATTCTGTTAGTAAGGTATCCTTTGGTTACATGAAAGGCACTTATAATCAAATGCATTATTATCGTGGTGTCCCATCTGTAAAGACAAAAATTCAAGAATACATGATTTGATGTCAAACTGCCTGGATCCTAGTTATCTCTCTGTATTTACTGTATATACTGTATAATAGTACACGGGGTTACTGAACTCATGTTTTGCTCCTGTCGTCCTCAGGTGTGGACCGTTAAGTACAACAGCACAGGCTCAAAGATCATTTCAGCTGGAGACGACCGCGCCATCCACATCTATGACTGTCCTATGTGATGGACATCCAGTACAAGCTACAGGATGAGAAGACCCTCAGAGCTGTTTACTCTAATCGTGGAGTGGAGGATGGTAAATCAGGGAGGGAGGGAGGGGTGGGAGCCAAGCTGTAAATGGCATGGATTATTTTGCACTGGACAGTCAAATAAAAGGGGTGTTTTTTTTTATACTTTTGTAGTATTTGAGTTTTGTATCAGTGAACCAGTTTAACAGAGCTGTGGATTACACATGATTGTAAAGAGAATGTCTTTAGGTTTCCCTGAAAGAGACAACAGGAGGTAAAAGATGATCAGACAGGTAAAACATGTAACTGATATCAATAGACAATACTGTTGAATAATTAAAATGGAGTAGAAATGGCTTTATACACTATCAGAAAATTTCCCCATTATGATTAAATACATGCTTATTGTCTTTTACTGAAATTTTAAAAATTGTGTGGTCTTAGTGCACATTTATTTGTTATATATTTAGTTACATTTCTGATTTGTCTGATAACCTTTTACTACCTTGTCAGTTTTGCAGCTTTGTTTAGAGACGTGACTTTGGCCTCGGTTAAATTTATTTTAACAATATTTTTAACTTTTTGTAAACTCATCTGAGTGTCCATCATCAGGACAGTTTAGTTTTAACCCTAGTGCCATGCATGCAGCGTCTGTAGGCGTGATCTTATGCCATACTAGTCAAAACTAGACTTAATTTTGCCCTCCATTTTAACACTGGATGCTCAGGCACAGTAGCAGGTCAACTCCTTTTCATGATGTGAATTCCCAGAAAGTTTTCTGACAAAGGCAAGTAAAAACTAGAAACAACTACAAGTTCAGAGGGGATAGTTCAGCAAGTGTAGAAGATGGTCTAGTGCCCCCAGTGGCCTGGCAGGTGTACTGCAGCCTCACAATATACTGCTGCTGTAGCAAAAGGCTTTTTTTTTTTTTAGCATCTTTACAATGTACAAATTATACTGCTAGCTACCAAAAAATGCAGTGATGCAGAATTCTTTGACTTTTTGTCAGATGTCAACAAGTTCTCAATGTCTAACACATATCAAACTACTTTCAACAATTCATAGATACTACAGTATCAGCAGACGGTTGGTAAACAGAGGTGTAGCACTCCCTGTGAACAGGCAGAGGTCCATGCAGGTTATAAAGGACACACAGTGTCAGATCTCACTGAAGTGTCTTCTGGCAGTAATAGCTGCATCTAAACAAGGCTGCATTTACATGACTCTTCAACATTACAGCAGATGCACCTCACGCTGGTGAGGCGACGGGTGGAATCTGGCTTGACTCTCTCCCTGCCCATTAGCTGTAACTAAACAGCAGCAGTGATTCAAGTTCCTGCCCTGTGAGTGAATGATCCCCAGTCATCAGAGCAGCATACATAATACACAGAATACAACAGGGTTATTAACAGCACGTGTATATTGATCCCACCTCTTTGCTGTGGTTTTAAATTTACACCTCCTACTACATCACAGCTTTTCTCTCTTTGTTTTGAACAGTGGTTTACACAGACAAAGCAGCAGAAACACCTGCCCTGATTGGCCCTTTTCATCATTAAACCTGTACCACTGATTTCACAAACTGCAGGAAAATAAAGCACAGGAGAGAGCTACACACATTACAGAAAGGCTTCAGGTCAAACTAAACATCTGAAAAGACCTTTAAAGTTAATGTGTTGCCTTTTTAAAAAAAAAAAAAAAAACAATCATTTTTTTAAATCTTAAATCTCATTCTAATTTCTCATGTACAATTTATTTACACTGCTGTAATTACATAAATCTTGTTGTTTAGGCCAAAACAAAGATGAGATTCCTTGCACATGTTCCTCAGCACACTGGAATGCACACACATATTTCCTGCTAGTTATTGTGTGTCATTAGGTTTTTGTTTCTCCAGATTTTGACACGGTGAAAATTCAAACTAACCTCACTGCAGATTTCAGTTTTAAAACACATACTGTGATTTACTGCCTGTAACTCCATTTTAGAAACTGATCCCAGATGGTAAGTATGGTCAAAACTGTTCATGACCTTCATTAAAAACAACTGGGAGAGTCATGTGTTGGTAAAATTTACATTACGGGAGCAGCGACAACAAGATCTGATTTATCAACTCTACTGTCCTTAAAGAAGTAACTAAGGTAAAATCTGCTCTATAGAGAAATTCAAGAATTTTTTTGTGGTGCTCTTTGTTTTGGCAAAATGTGGTACATTGATTTCTCATATCATCCCATTTCAGAGTAACAATTTAGCAAAAATAATCAGGTTTGTAAAAATAATTGAACTCTAAAGCGTATTTAAGACAAACATCACATTCACTATGCTGCGTAATCATACGTGCATTGAGACAACAGTGTGAAATGCTTGTGGCAGCAGTCTTAACAGCAGAGCAGTTACCCTGAAACTGGAGTCCAGGTTATTATCTCGGTTGATCCGCTCGTCCTTGCTCCCTGTGGCCTTTCACCAATGTCTGGACTCCACGAGCTCAGCTCGCAGGCTCAGCCTCTTCAGAGTCTCATATCCCACCACGATGAGCAACGATGTCGGCAAGGAGGAAATGACGCGGGCTGACAGCCCCTTGGTCAACCCCTGGACGCCCTCCTCTGCCAGCAGTTGCTTGAACGTCTCGATAACAGATGATTGTCCCTCCACCTTCAACAAACAAGTATTAAATCATCATTGTTAAATAAAAATAGGTTTCATGTTGAAACTGAAAGTAAATTCTTCACCTTGGAAACAAAATCCTACCACAAGGTTGTTTTTTTTATTCTACTAAGGGAGGTGGTATGATACAGCCAAAAGCTGCAGAACAGCTACTAAACTGACCTTGTAGTGTGACTTTATCGGCTGCTGTTTGCAACGTCAATGACATTTGTCTCAACTTTTAAAGCACATTAGATGAAAACTAGACAGTGCTCAAAAAACAAAACGTAGAACATGTTTCAACTACAACTGAGCAAACTCCATCTGCTGAGGACCATGTGTCTTATGAACAGCCAATGAAATGGACTTCGTGGAGAGACAACACATTTTATAGTGTAGTTTGCCTCCAGTGCTTGGAAGCACTTGTCAAGCAAAGTTCATCTGTATGGTCTGGGTTCTAAATGTATTGGAACTAAACGAAAGGAAAGTATGCAGATTTATACCCGTCAATGACAAACTATTAACACCTGCATCTACATCAGTAATCTACAAAACAACAACAGCTGACGATGTGCACCTGGCTCACACACAGCTCTACCAGCATGCCAGCTGGCCAATCAGCCTGCTGCTGCACTGCAACCAAGACCAGGTGAACAAACAACTGCACTATGTTGTGTATGAGTAGCTCGAGAGAAAAAGAGCTACCTCCAGCTGTGTTTGGGGTTGATAGGTCACAGCACGGAAGGCCTGATTCTGTGGAAAATGCAGAGCGCCAATCTGGCAGTGGAATTTTAGAGGAGGAGGATGTTTAGTTTAGATTTGGAAGATTGATCTACAGCTCCACCTACGCCAAACACCTGCCTCGAACAGAGACAGAGGTTATATTGTGGCCTCAAAACACAATGAGTTAACACACTTGACTGGATATCCATATTTGGGTCACCTCCATGACAACTGAACAAACTCCATCTGCTAATGGAGACAAAGAGATATACCTGAAAGCTGGAAATATTCCAGTAAGTGGACCTGGTGCTAGGAAGATGGTAATGCTTTTCCATGTTCAGTAATGACCAAAACATTAAAGGTCTACCAGCTCAGGCACTGTACTCCTCAATGGATGCTTAGATTCAGTACAAGCCTTTTTAATAAGCAGTGGACAATTTCTAGTCATTTAATTTCAGACAGAAGCAACATCATCCCCCTGTCAGTAATACATGCACACTTTTTTTCATTCCACCTGTCAAGATTTAAATTTGACTAATTCATTCAGCTATCAACCCCAGAGGTTCTCCTCACAACCTGCCTAAATGAGTAAAAAAGAAAGCAGTCTCCTCTCCCATCAAGGTCTAATCATTACAGGATGCATGTGGTGCACGGTGGTGGCTCTGACGGTTTACCTGTACTCTCGCTCGAACAACATCCATGGGGTTGGTGATGGTGGAGGCGGTTGCTGCTGCCATTGGCCCAGCCACAGCCTGTAGGAGCAGGTGGGGGCACTGACTTGGTGCCAACAAGGACAGCTGCTCTGGGAACACACAACATGAAAACAGTCTAAGGCCGATATATGTTACTTAACAGTATCTTAGATTAGCTGTAGATTTTGCTAAAGCTGTATATTTTTTTCTACAAACTAACATTTACTTTTATATGTGTTGATTTACCTGCATAAAAATGATAAAAAGGCCACCACAGTGCACTGTTAGGGATGTACGTGAGCAGCGACGCCACATAGCCCCGGTAAAATCCCCTGAATCCATCAGCTGCAAATATCTGCACTGTAATATCACGGGTTTGCCCGAAAGTAGGTTTGCGCTTAGATGCTGCAAGCATCATTTTGGGTTTGGGCTTGAAGCGGCTCAGGTGCTCCCCCTGTCCTTGCATCATCAGGTGCTGGGACACCACGTCTATGGGCACTGTGATGGTCTGGGCCACAAGGGATGCTGCTCCTCCCGCCACCACAGACTTCACCGTGTTACTGGGAGAGTAGTGGGAGACGTACTTGCGCACCAATTCGTAGGTGGTGATATAAGCCTGTCCTGACACCAGGGTGAATGTATTGATCATGAATCCGCGGTAGAGACCCCACACTCCTTCCGCTCGCAGGATCTTGAAGAGGGCATCAAAGGTGCCGGAGTATAGGGTCTTCCCCTTCTGTACCTGGAGCCGAGTACGAATGAGGCTGGCCGGGTAAACGGTGGCCCTTGTGGTTAAGGTCATGAACACTCCCAGGGAGTAAAACTTCCTCTTGTCCAGGTCCTCCCATTCGATAATTTGGATTGTACCCTTCTGCTGCATGGTGCCAGGCAGGGCAGCACTCCTACAGCCACATATCTGCAGGCATCAACCCTCTGCCAGCCATCATACCTGTAACATTCAGCATAAGTAAAGCTTTAGTAAATTTGGTCAGCTCATATGGAGGATTTGCTTCTTTTCACTGTTAAATATGATGATTTCTATGGAAAGCTCAATATTCAAGTACTGTATAGGCACTATTTGGTCCCAAAGAGGGGGATGGGTACCTGAATCCTATTCCTATTCTCATCCAAGCAAAAAGCAGGTATGTGCTATAAGTATACTGCTCAAAAAAATAAAGAGAACACAACATAAGACATCCTAGATCTGATGTGTTCCCTTTATTTTTTTTTTAGCAGTGTACTTTATTTTCCTAATGAACATTCATTAGGATGAACATTTGTCTTTTTTTTTGTTCTCTCAGCCTAATCTTGTTTACTTGTTGCTTTACAGAAGAACATTGTACATACACACAGAGTCACTGTACAGAAGTCAAACTCCTCGTGTGTCCAACACACCTGGCCAGTAAAGCTGATTCGGATTCTGACTTGACACATACAATATGCATTGTATATGCTCAGATTATACGGTGGCTGGAAACATTTTACAATCCCGAATTAGGGATGCAACCAACTATTTCAAATATCCATCAATCTGATGGATATTCATTTTCTTAATCACAGTGGCCCATGAATTGCTACAGTAAAAAATGCCCTTTACAGATTCTTAGAAATTTAAGTTAACATCTTCAAAATGTTCATTTCATCCAACCAGCTCTCCAAACCCCAAAGATATTCAATTTACACTGAAAGCAACTGAAAATCCTCACATTTAAGAAAGTAGAACAACTTTGCTTATGGTACATCATTGCACTAAAGACGCCGCTAAATGTCTTAGCATGATCATGAAAGCTGAAAGAGGCTGGCTTCAACATCAGTACAATGAGACAAAAAAGTCTGCAAATTCCATTAACAAGCTGAACCAGTCTGAACAACCCTGAACAGGGTGGATGTGAAATATACTGTGCCTGCAAGACAGTCTAAAATATCTTATCTCAAGTTAACTGCAAATAAGTGGGTCAAAATTCCTAAATCAAGACTAGAACACTCTCAGCTGCCAGAGAGGGCTTACTAAATCAGAATCAGCAGGGGTCCCAAACATTTGCATGTCAGCAGTTACTTGGTTTGTTTAATTTTTATAAGTTCATGAAATAAAAACAAACAGTGCATTAACTTTTGAAGAAAGGCACATTTGTAATATGTGTTTGCTGATAGAATAATTGTATTTACTTATTTTCGCTTAAAAATATATGCAATTTGCCAAGGGTGCCAAAAGATTTGCACAGGACTATATACCCTGCAACATTTAGTGTCAAAGTTACGGCATGAAAAATCTGACATACCTGTAACAGCTTAAGGGGTTTTCGGTTTTTATCAGTAAACATGTTAGAAGTCCTTAAAGAAGGCTGCAGGTGGTTATGCAACAGGCTGTATTATCGCCAAACTAGAATGCTACATCACAGCACACAGCTACTACGCATGCTGTGCAGAGACAGCACAAATACTGAAAAACAGGGAGGGGGGTTGGGCGAGTGTGCCTGCACAGTAAAGAACATGCTGACTTGTGTACAGCTGGTTTTCAAAGTAGTAGCCAAAGGCTAGTGTATTCGACAGAAACCTGATAGCTAACCCAACAGTCACAATACCAGTCCAGCAGTTTCCCAGCACTGCCAGCCATTTGAGAGTCTAATCGAGTCAATCTGTTGTTGTCCTGCAGCGACTGCTGAAGCAGACGGGGAAACACGTGCAATGTCACTTTGTGTACTCACGCTATTAGCTAGCTAACAACATGATTGCTAACTTCCTTTATTTTCCTGTGTACGATATAACCCAGGGATTTAACGAAAGAACGTCGATTAAACATACCCTTTAAAGGGTCATGGAGATCGAGTTCACCTGCTCCTCGCAGTGGACCTGAGCTGTTTTGATAAAGTCATGCGGCCTGCTCTGTTGCAAGGTGGGTCATGTCTTCCGTCCATTGCTGCTGCGACCAAACATCGTGAAAAGTTATGAGCCGAGTTTCACTGTATCGTAGCGGATTGTTGTCGTAATTACAGGCTTTACCAAAATTAACAATTATGTTTACTGAGCTAAGAACTAAACTTACGATGCATTCTCCTTCTTGTGTTTATTGGCGGTTTGCAAGCAAACTTAATCTGCATTACCGCCACCTGCTGGGCCGGAGTGTAGAACAATACTAGAGCCGAAGGATTACGATGCATTCAAGGCCTGGTACAAACATAAGAATTGTTTCTTCTTCTTCTCCCCTGGATTTTTAGGGCGGTTGGCATCCTTAGCGTTGCGTTACCGCCACCTTCTGCTTATGGTTATAATCAAACGGAAACCCTCTCCATTGCACATCACTTCCATATTCTAAAATGCCTTTAAAGTGAACTTCTGACACTGCATAATCACTTCTAATCTTTCTTATGCATATTTCCTGCATGAAATAATATGTTGTACAGATTCACTTTCCTGACACCTCATACAGAAACCTGTTGGATGCTTCCCTATAATGAATAATGTGCCACTGAGATTACTGTGCCCAGTCCTAATTCTGCTAATTATTACATATTGTTTTCTTGAACTGCATCGGTTACTGGTTACCCTTAGCTTGAAGGCAGATACCCTCCCTTTGTCTCATGTTCCCAACTCTCCTACCATTCCTCTATAACTTTCTTCCACACCAAACCTTTCCCCTCTGATTTTGACAGTTTATTGGTCATTTCAGTATGTATTTTATTGACAGCTTGCTTGGCTACTTTATCTACTTTCTCATTCCAATGTGTGCTGGCACCGACATGAACCTGATTTCTTTCTCTTGATTGACTACTACTGATTTCAATACCAGAATTTAGTACAGTAGAGCTTGGTGGCTTTTACTAGTCCCCATCTATATACTTGTGAGTGTAGAGACTGAGTCGCCGCATATAAGAAAATCATACTACTTTCTCCATCAGAATCGCATACAGCTTTACAGTATAAACACTCAAATAGTCAATTGATAAAATAATTAGTGGAGTTGTGCAGCTCTACTTATACTTATTTTAATGTAGTTTAATGTAAAGCAAAACACCATCTTTTATTAGCTCCTTAAATATTTTGCCTGCTAAAATATTAATCCGTAACGTAAATACAGCTGTCAGATAATCATAGTAGGATAAAATGTGCAACATTTCCCCTTGAACTAGTTAGGAGAAATAAATAGATGAGCATACTCATGTGCAAGTACCTCAAAATGCAATTAAGTGCAGTACTTTAGTAAATTTACTTACTTTTAATCGCTGCCTCTATGTAATGGCACTGTTTAAAATGTTTTTATGGTATTTTATTAGTAATTATAATGGGCGTGGCCGTGGATCTCTGCATTCTGACTGGTGGGCTCGGTGTTGCCTGCGCACTGGTGAGTACGGGTCGTGTTGATTTCAGAAGTCATCATGGCGCTCACGTCTACAGTTAAAGGTAAATAGGTACCTTGGGCTAGTCTTGATTAGCAAGCCGTCACCGATCTTCATTTTATTCTTAAAGACAGAAATAGATTAAGACACCTTCCCCGTGAGCATGGCTGTTGTTTGCTTGTAGTCGACGTTACATAAAGCGTACCGGCGTCAAACTGTAAAGCTAACATTACGTTAGCTATCTTGGTAAAGCGTACTCTACAACTAACATAACTGCTTAATTAGCTACTGCCGCAAGCTAAATGTGTATTTGCCCAAAATTTCACTTTGGTGAACTTTATATGCTTAAATGTGTGCTAATTAAATTGCTCTTCCTTTGCTTTGTCTTATCTTCTCTACCCGCTAGCACGATAAGTACTCATCGAGAGTCTGCTTCATGATAAGGAGCTAGCAACTAGGTGTTAGCAACTTTAGCTAACGTTAGCTTTGTATCTGTCTTCCATTCCCTGTCATCAGGGCACATGCGGAGATTACTTAATATAAGAGGATGTTTCGCAGGCTGCATTGTCACCTTGATTATAACAAATAATCTAATCATAATAGATTCTTGTTGCAGTCTGTCATCGCATATATATAATAATCGCAAGACAGTGTAGCAGTTACAGCAAGATATGGTTTGATTCCACTTTATAGACTCCTTAGGATCGGTTGAAAAGTGGCCCGCCGTCAAAATGACGGTGTCTGCCAAAGCAAACATAAAAATTCTGGTGTAGCACTGACTCAGTTTTGTATTAATTTCCTCGCTAATAACAATAGGGAGTGTTCAGCCATCTAGCTTGCGGCTTTATCGGTGAAAAGGGGATTTATCATCACGGGATCTCAGCACAGTGTTTCTAAAAGAAGTACTGTGTATTTTCCATTCTGCCTGCTTTGCATTACAGTTATTTAAAAGACGTGAGCTCACTAGCTTGCAAATGCACCTCAGTGAGACAGGAAAATTTGCACTGAAGTTGTTGATTTGCAAGTTACGCTGACCTTGGGATACAGACGACGCTAAATGTGTCATTTGAAAAGGTTGAATATATGAGTTTAAATCCTGCCATCAGAACATATAACTTTTTAATTTGTTTTCTTTGGACTTTCAACTGTAGAGAAGTTTGTATGTCACTATTTGTCTATGTTATAAGCATTGTTAGGTAAATTGAGCTAAATTACAGCATTTTGTTTATTTGCCTTGATTCTCATCAGCATTGTTAATGCTGTTGCTGCATTGCTCCACCCCTAGTGAGCATGTTTAAAGGAGAGGAGACAGGAAACATTTACATGGGTTTATTGTCAGATTTGTAGGAATTAGGCTGAACCAGTTCCACAATGTGTATGCTTGCATTACTTTCCCATTTAACTATGAGGGCCTTGACTTTTGCCTCATGACTGATTGCAGGGTGACAGAATGATCATGAGGACATTCTCTGTATTTATTCAGTAAACACACATTTAGGAGACAGCTAAAGTGTATAAATGGTACTGAAGGTTTGGGTTAATCCAGCAGGTTCTGTGCAGCCTTAGCTTCATACTGATCACAGCCAGTAACCTGAGAGCCAAAGTTCCAGGAAGATTTCCAGTTGAGAGACTGGTAATGTCACTACTGAAAAGACTGCTGTAACAGAGGGGCCCAGTGATTGCTTTGTTTAGTTTTTATTTCAAGTCTTAAAGGAGAATTTTATCAACATTTACAGCTCTAACCTGAGTTTATCCACATCCAGCCTTTTCTTCCAAGCCTACCAATTGTTGATAGACTTATACCTGGAAATGGGGAAATTTATTTTACAGCCAAAACATAAGTCAAGGCCACCACATCCTGCATGGGCTTATTTTACTTAAACACCACTAGGAAGGAAATGAGACCAGAAAGATGTTTTTCATGTCTCTTTCCTCTGCATTTGTACTGTACTTTATAAGGCACAGTAAATACATTTTCAGTGTTACACTATTCAATAAACCTGTTCACAGTACTATCAGTGTTAAAGTTTGGCTCCTGTTGAGACCAGCCTCTCAGCTACTAATAGCCAGTAATACTGTATGGTATGTATTGTAATAAGCCAGTTGTATGGATGATGTTCATAAATAGTACTGAAAATGTAGGTCTCCTGCCAGTTTCTTAGAGATGGCTTAAGCCTTGTCCTTGCCTGAACTGTCCTTTTGTTTTTAGGAGATCCCCACTGGGTGAGTGTCTGAAATGTTGTTGACTCTGTCTGTACAGCAATGGGCTTCAGTTTTAAGCCTGTCCAAAGCACAGAAAGCAGATTGGAGTTGATCATATTTAGATTTTTTTGTAAATAGGTTTGATTTAACAGTTTTTATTTTTTAAACAAATGTCTGTTTTCTCCTCTGCAGAGCATCCTTATAGCCATCTGATTGACACATTGAAAGATGGCCGCATCAAGTTCTTTAATCCACAGAAATTGAACGATCCAAGATATGGTGAGTTCATTCCCTCTGACTGGACGAAAGGGCACAGAGATTTTAACTCCATGTTTTCACTCCTCACAGACTCTTTGCTTGTATTGTTTATTTTGCGCTCATCTGCAGACTTTTGTGTATTTAAGCAGCGGGACACTGTACCATAGAAATCTATCATATTGTGTTGTACACTTGCATAATAATGCTGTTTAACACTGTTGAGCCCCCTGAACATTTGTAAATATACCTGTAGATGAAGGAAGTTTTTGAATTAACTTTTTTAGAGTCTATGGTGGTTTGCCACATTATGGTCCTAACACATTCAAAATGACAGTTTTGTAGTAAGGAGTGTTGAACGAACAGTTAAATTTGACTACTTAATACTTTTGTTTACTCTGTGTAGACAAGCTGCCTCTGTCCATCCGTGTCTTGCTGGAAGCAGCAATTCGTAACTGTGATGGCTTTTACACAAATGAGGAAGATGTCCAGAGCATCTTGGACTGGCAGGAGCAGCAGAATAAAGCTGAGGTTCCATTCACACCAGCACGAGTCCTTCTCCAGGACTTCACGTAAGTTTCTTCCGAGAACTAAAAACTAGACACCAGGCAATCGTTGAGCCAGTCTTATATGATTTGTGTCACTAAATGGAAGTCATTGTGATGTAATCAGTTTCCCTCTTGATAATAGAATTCAGGACTGGTGACCAATTGGGTTTTGGGCAGAGCAGCTAATCCAGATGATAGCATACAAGAAATGATAGAAATGAGCTTCTTAGATTTTGTGCCTTTGTAATGAATGTTGGGTTTAATTGTTTTTCCTCTTCTGCCTTTCTTTGACAGTGGTATTCCCGCTATGGTGGACCTGGCGGCCATGAGGGATGCTGTGGCCAAACATGGAATGGACCCCGGTCTGGTTAATCCTAAATGTCCTACAGACCTCATTGTAGACCACCCTTTACAGATTGATTATAATAAATGGTGTGTTTGCATTTTCCAATACTGTTTATTGTAATCATGTTAAATTAAGCAAGAAGACTGATTCATGTGGTTGTGAATTGCATGTTTGTTTTTTTTTAACTTTCGATCCACAGTGCCATACAGAATGCTCCAAACCCTGGTGGAGGTGACAGCCCAAACCAGAGCCAGGGACCCTCTCGTTCCACAGCTTCCAGGCCTCCTTCCAGAGGAGGCTCGCAGTGTGGAGGCCAGCGGGGCTCCTGTAGTAAACCTGCTTGCAGTGACCCTCCAGCCTCCCTGGGACAGCCAGCTTCTGTCCAGCAGATAGAGAACACACCTCTCCTCTGTCCTTTCCACCTGAAGCCTGTGTCTGAGTGAGTCCTGGAAACTGCGCTATTGATTTATGACAGTTATTCATTCCATACATGAGTAAACGCAGGGAACGAACCAAGTCTTAAACATTATGGGGAGGGCTACATTGGTTCATTTAGCTTGCTCATTAGTTTGTTCTGTTAAATCTGTAAAAGATAAAATTGCAGATTGAAAAAATGACTGTCAGAGTTCACCTTTAGCACATTTACTATTGATTTGTTCTTTTATCTGCAGACCTGAAACAGCTCTGAAGAATCTAGAAATGGAAATGAGCAGAAACAAAGAGAGGCTTAGGTTCTTTAAGGTACAGCACAGAACAAACACATTTTTATTATATCATGTTAGGCAATCAGAGGGAAAGGAATGTTTCAACTTGAGATTTTACATGCCTATTTAAGGTGTTTTTTTTGTGTTTAAAACTGACAACCAAATAAAGCTTACATTTTCTTATGTAAACTATAAATGAAGAGTCAAGGACCTTTGCCTTTGTTTGCTTTAGAACAGTGCAAAACTGAATTTGTATTTTGACTGAGACAAAGTTAAATGGTTTTTCTAACAGTTGTCTTTCTACCAAACAGTGGTGTTCAAAAGCATTTAAGAATGTGAACGTGGTTCCTCCGGATGTCGGTTCAGTCCACCAGGTGAACCTGGAGTATCTGTCCAGAGTGGTCCAGGTCAGCGAAGGTTTCATCTACCCCGACAGCGTGGTGGGAACCGACTCTCACACCACCATGATCAATGGCCTGGGCATCCTGGGCTGGGGTAAACTATTCTCAAACTTTAAAGTTCTTACCAGGTTTATACATTTTATTGTAAACTCTGTCAACTATGGAAGTTGGAATGGTTGATAGTTCTTTTTCTGAGTGTTGGGGAGATGAAATAAAATGGCTGAGATAAATTAAAAACCAAACTTATCCCAAGTGGAAATAATAAGCCGTTCTGTTGATTCACTCTACAGTGCAAACTACGCACTTGCATTTTACTAGGAACACCATACAAATACTGGGTCAGGCCTCCCTTTGCTCTCAAAGCAGCCTTAGTTCCCCATGGCTGGAAACGTTCAGCTCCATGTTGACATGAGTGCATCACATTGGTTAGCTGTACATTCAGGCCACAAATCTCCAGTTCTAGCCCATCTCAAATGTGTTGTAACAAATTCAGGTCTGGTGAAAGGGGAGGCCATTGAAGTACACTGAAATTATTACCATTTTTATGAAGCCAGTTTGAGACTATTTTTGTTTTGTAACATGATGCATTACAGTGCTGGAAGTTGTCATTAGAAGATGGTCAGTTGTGGCCATATGGTTAATAACAATAGTCTGAAAGGCTTTGGCTTTGAAAACATGATTGACTGGTATTAGGGGGCTCAAGAATCAGAATCTTTATTGGCCAAGGCACACAAGGAATTTGACTCTGATACAGAGGCTCTCAATGTGCTTTGTAAGGCACCAATAAATAAAAAAAAGACATTAAAGAGAAATTAAACTTTGTGTATTCAAATAGGAAAAATGTGCAGTTGGTAGGAGAAAGAATAGGAGGGATAGGAGGATGAATAGAAGAAAAAGACACGATCTGTTTATAAATCTCTATAAAAAGGCAGAAGAGCTTCCAGATTGAGCTATAAAATGTCTATATAGTTTATTGAACTGTGGTGATTGCTGTGTCATACAGCATGGATTAAGTGTTCATCAGACATTCCCCAAGTGTTCCCCATACTGTTACACCACCATCCATGGCTCCATGGACTCCTGCTGATGCCAAATCTTGACCCTGCCATTTACATGTCTGAGATGAAATTTAGATTCATCAGCCCAGGCTATGTTTCTTCACTCTTCAGCTGTCCAGCTTTGTTGAATCTATGCCCGCTGCAGCCTCAGGTTTCTGTTCTTGGCTGTCAGGATCGGATACTGATGTGGTCTTCTGCTGTTGTAGTCCATCAAGGTTTGACGTGTTGTGTTTTCTGAGATGCTTTTCTGCCCAGTACAGTTGTAAAGAGTGGTTACCTGAGTTGCTGTAGCCTGCCAGCTCGTACCGCTGTGGTCATTCTCCTCTGACCTCCCTCATCAGCAAGACATTTCTGTTCTGCTGCTCGCTGGATGTTTTTTGGTTTTCAACCATTCTGAGTGAACTCCAGAGAATGTTTTGTGTGAAAATTCCAGGAGATAAACAGAAATACTCAAACAGCTCTTTTCCTCCTCATTCTAATGTATGAATTCTGTGAAACTTAACTGACGCTCCTGACCTGTATCTGCACAATTTTTACTACAGCAATGCTGCCACGTGATTGGCTGATTATAAAATTGCACAAATAAGCAGGTTGTACAGGTGTTCCTAATAAAGTGCTTATTTTGTGTTTTTAAAAATGCTTTAGACTTCAAATTTTTTGCTGCTTTTTCTCCACCAGGCGTCGGGGGGATCGAGTCAGAAGCTGTGATGCTGGGCCAGCCAGTGTCTTTGACCCTTCCTCAGGTGGTGGGCTGCAAACTGGTGGGCTCCATCAACCCCCTAACCACTTCCATAGACATTGTCCTTGGCATCACAAAGGTAACACTGCTCTGCTGCCTTGAATGTGGTATTAAGAATTTGTTGCTTTACACATGGGACTGTAAAACCACCTATACCAGTTGGAATAAAACAGGATGTGGTATAAGCACAGAACTAACACAACAGGCTTTATTTCTGCAAACTGCAAGAACTAAAAGTAAAATGAACTTCATTACTATAGATGTGGTCCTAAAATCTAAGAGTGTGTAGTAATATATTGTGCTTTGGTTTTCTAGCACTTGCGACAAGCTGGGATTGCTGGAAAGTTTGTAGAGTTTTTTGGACCTGGTGTGTCCCAGCTATCAGCCCCTGACCGAACCACCATCGCCAACATGTGCCCAGAGTATAACGCAACTGTCAGCTTCTTCCCTCTCGACCAAGTCACACTCGAGCACTTTAAAAAGACAAGTGAGTCAGCCAAGTGCTGCCTGCTGTTGAGTTTTTCTGCTAACTGTTCACTTTCACAAATTTTTCTGTAACTGTCTAAGACAATACCATCACCAGCTTCAAGAATGTAACCTGTCCTGATTTTCTTCCCAGATTTTACCCAGGAAAAACTTGAATTGTTGGAGTCTTACACGGCGGCTGTAAAACTTTTCCGAAACTATGAAGATCCCTCAGAAGACCCCCAGTATTCTGAGGTCATTTTTATTTTATTTAACATTTGACTCCAAGCTGCACTACCTGACATATAGTGTAATTGTATTTCTGAGGCTCTGGAATGTTTATTTCAGGTGTGGAAAGAGAAGTGCTTTTCTTCTTAATGGGACGTTTTACCATTTGGTTTGGTTAAGAATGGAAAAGAGATGGTGCCTCAACAGTTTCTCTAGTTTCAGAAAAGTAGTGTGCTCCTTCCTGGCCATATTTGTAAAAAAAAAAAAAAAACACAAGAGTGCAGTGATAGAGTGAATCAGGTTGCCTTAATAAAACCGCTGATCTTTGTGCAGGTGGTAGAAATCAACCTGAGCTCCATGGTGCCATATGTGAGCGGACCAAAGAGGCCTCAGGACAGGGTGGCAGTCAGCAGCATGAAAGAAGACTTTCAGAGTTGTCTTGATGAGAAGGTAACAATACACAGTAATTTTATTTACCTTGCCAGCCTCCAGACTATTGAGAACAGATATTACGGTTCAGGGTGAAGACGGTGATAGTGATGGATTACCTGATAGCAGAGTGTTATTTCTTTTCTTCTGTCTCCTTGTAGGTGGGTTTTAAAGGATTCCACATCTCCAAGGAGAAGCAGGAGACCCGGATTCCTTTCCTGCACTGTGGTCAGGAGTATGAGCTGACCCATGGCTCGGTGGTGATTGCCGCTGTTATCAGCTGCACTAACAACTGCAACCCGTCTGTCATGCTGACTGCAGGTAAAAGAATCAACAAACGGTGGCATTTATGATGTGGTTGCTTTGTTCCTGGGTGGCCGGTTGTTCATCTAGTCATTTAGATTTTTTTTTTAACTTATATGCTGTTTCACTTCTGTGTGTGGCTACTTATATGTACATTTGTGTAACGTGGTTTTTGTGATCTTCTTCAGGTCTACTGGCCAAAAAGGCTGCAGAGGCAGGACTTGTTGTCAAGCCTTACATCCGGACCAGCCTGTCTCCTGGAAGTGGCATGGTGACTCACTACCTCAATACGAGTGGAGTCCTGCCTTTCTTTAGCCAGCTGGGGTAAGCATATGTACACAGTGACAACACATACACACAAATACACCCCAAACAGAAAAGCAATGGCCTGGCATTTGCAGTTCAAGTGTGACATGCCCTGAAGTTGTGATATTGAAAGAGTGAACATGTTTTTCCCTGATAAGGAATACTAGGGTTAAATAAAGGTTATTGTTCTCATAAAGTAAATGCTTTCCGTGCTGCTGCTAACATGTTGGTGCCACATGCCACAGGGACCAGGAGCTTATTGGACAGGGGTCACTGCCGTGTTTGTGTTACTTTTGTGGAGTGTAATTTATAAACTTCCCAGTTTAGGTTATTATTATTGAATCTAAACGGGTTATTTATTATCAAGCGAACATTAGTTTTGTCGGTTGGTTCAGTTAGTTATGCAATAGTTACATCTGGCAGTTACTCGATATGAATATGTACAGGTAACTAACTGCATTAACCAACTTCTCCCTCTAATTTTTGACCGGTAAGGATGAAGTGGTACAGCATGGAGAAAACATCTCTGGACATTTTTTTTTTTACTTGATTTATCCAAATTTGTGCAAAATGTAATGTCAACATAAGAACTAGTTTGTGTGTTACAACCAGTTTTTAAGTTAGTGTTGTGTAAATATCCACCTAGTAAATACTTTGAGGTTTACATTTAAACCAGACGGGTTTTCATGGTGTGAAGAGCTTGTGCAGCCAGGTCCTGAAAACTCTCAATGCCACTTTTAAATGTGAGTTGTTGCAGGAACATGTTATGAGATGGTAGTCCCATGGTTCAGTTGTCATCTGTCTGCACCTACAAAAGCTATTGTGTCATTAGCCGGAGTTACTAACAGACCTGTCACAGTGGTCTGGTTTGAACAAGTCCAATAATTAATCATTTAAATTATCCCATGTGATGTGACGCATTTGTGTGAAAGTGGTGTCACAAAGACACAAAAGTCAGAATAATTTAATTCCCCTAAGCTTGATTTATGGTTCTGTGTTGAATCGACATCATAGCCTGACATGCGCCCCTCCAGAAATGTAACATGTTGCGGCAACGCAGACCACAATAACGGTGATTGCTTGCATCACATTTCCTCAGTCACGACTCTCAGTGGCTGGACAAGCACGGAATATCCCCTCTTGTTCTGCCTCAGCCAGTTCAGCCCCCTCCACCACCACCACACACACACACACACACACACACACACACACACACCAACTAGTGCTTTGGTAGGGTGACACAGACACACCAGTGCACAAATAAATGCTCACAACAGAACAAGCCACTTACACAGCCTACAGCCTAGGCTCTGCATAGATTCAACACAGAACCACAAACGAAGCTTTACCCAACATTGTGTTTTTCCTGTACAGGTTTGAGGTGATTGGTTACGGCTGTGCCACATTGCAATCAAACAGGTCATATTTTCATAATCCTGCTCTGCTTTATCTTTGGATTCAGGACACGTTCACAACAATCAGATCCTGACTTTATCTTGTTCTTTAGGGTGACCTGGTGGCCTGCAGCGTGTTGTCCGGTAACAGGCACTTTGAAGGCCGTCTGTGTGACTGCGTGCGTGCCAACTACCTGGCCTCCCCTCCCCTCGTTATGGCTTATGCTATTGCGGGTACTGTGGGAATCGACTTTGAGAAAGAGCCTTTAGGTAAAGACAGCATACAACAGGAGCTCTCTCAAACCGGTTCAGTCCAACCTGAGGTTCATTTTGGGATTTTAGGAATTTGGCTTCATTACAGTGAGTGTGAGCCTGTGATGACTTGGTGTCTTGTGCAGACATGTCAGCTGTAAACACGTCAAAAAGGAGTGTTTTTAGTTGTGGTTTTAGGTGTAAAACACTGTCTAGTTGCAATAAGCCCATTAAGTAATTATGTATAAAATGTATAGTGGTGAAATTAACAGAAGCTTTAAAAAGTAGCATTAGTTTAAGCTGAGGCATATTTAGTATACAATCAGTTCAATTTGAAAATCTGGATATAATTGTGTCACTTTCTGCCTCTTAAAGGGAAAAAAGTGGAAGGTGTTCATTGGTCTGAGCAGGTGTTGACAGAACAAGGTCCCTTTTATTATTTGATGCCCTTTTTGTGGTGCTAACATTAGGTTTCTCATTGCTTGAGCAGGTGTGACATCAGAGGGCAAAGAGGTGTACCTCCGTGATATCTGGCCATGCAGGGAGGAGGTCCAACAGATTGAGGAGGATATGGTCGTCTCCTCCATCTTTAAGGATCTTAGGGGAAGGATGGAGGTGAGGGGTTAATCATCACTGGCTTTTTTTCCATCTTTCTCTCTAAAGTCTTGTGTTTTACTCAAATCAAATGAATGCTGTGCCATCTTCCAGAAGGGGAACACATTTTGGAACAACATTGAAAGCCCTGATTCTGTGCTCTTCCCCTGGGATCACAAGTCCACATATATCCGTTCACCATGTTTCTTCAGCAAATTGGTAAGTGCATGTAGACTACGTAAGGTACCCTGGTTTCATAGATTGAACTGAGATTGCTGCCGTTAGCACTACAACAGCAAAAATGTCAGTGGTTTAGATGATAAAGAGCACCTCCATCTCCGTCTTTTCTCAGAGTAAAGAGGTTCCTCCTCCTCAGTCGGTAGAAAATGCTCATGCCTTACTTTTCCTCGGGGACAAAGTAACCACAGACCACATCTCACCAGCAGGCAGCATCGCCAGGGCCAGCGCAGCTGCCAAGTACCTGTTGAGCAAACGGTTGGTTTCCCACTCAGACCAGAGAGGCTGGGTTTGTTTGTTTCTCTGGTGCCACTACATGCAGTATGTTCTCCTGATCTTTGAATGCAGCTGAAGTTATACAGCTCGGTAATCAGAGGTTCTACTCACTGATTGGCTTGTGAGCTCATTGGTTTCATTCCGCTCTTGTTCACAAGATCTGCTTGTGAGAGTTAGGACAAGATGTAAGAAGTCCAGACTGGAAAAATCCTAATTCTGATTGTTCAGACTGTACATGTTATTTACATGTGCATTATGTACATCTTGCATTACTGCTCAATAAGAGAAACCTGTGTAACAATAGTGTATGTCACGTTGAATGTCCCCCTGCAGCCTGACACCGCGGGACTTTAACTCGTATGGTGCTCGCAGAGGGAATGACGCTGTGATGACCAGAGGCACATTTGCCAGCATCAAACTCCAAAATCGATTCATCGGCAAACCAGGCCCCAAGACTTTGCACATTCCTTCAGGCCAGACAGTAAGTGACAGCCGTGCCAGACCAGCGACTCAGACATGGACTTATTTGGGAAAGTCACCTTTGACAGAGTTTGCATAGTTCTTTACTTACTGGCTAATTCAGGCACCCATCCTGTACAAGCTGGCCATGGTCAAAGTTGTATCCTGTGAGCTGTAGCGGTGCCCGAGTCTAGAATTGTCAGTTGCTACATGTCTGGACCAGACAAGCTGGTTTGTTGCTTGTGCCATGTCAGACCTGCTGCTCATTACCTGTCCTCCTCCTGTCTGTCTGCTCAGATGGATGTGTTCGAGGCAGCAGAGCGCTATCAGAGAGATGGCATTCCCCTCATCATCCTGGCCGGGAAGGATTACGGCTCTGGAAGCTCCAGGGACTGGGTAGCCAAAGGACCATACCTGCTGGTAAACTACAGAGGGCACACACATCACTTTCCCCTGACCACTGTACAAAGACCAGTGTTAGAGCTGTCTTTTGCCTTTCATATGTTGCTTAACATGATGCATTATAGTAGTTTAATTTTAATTTGAGAGGGTGGAAATCATCAGGGTGCCTTCTTCCTCATAGTGTAATGCTATGGAAAGAACACTGAGCCATACAGCCATGAGCACCATTTTAACTTATTTGAGGAGCATTCAGTGACTCCATGTCTTCACATGTTTTGGCATTCCACTTGTTTCCCGGGGTTGGCAGGGGGTGCGTGCGGTCATCGCTGAGAGCTTTGAGAAGCTGCACAAAAACCAGCTGCTGGGAATGGGCATCATGCCGCTCGAGTTCCTGCTCGGCCAGAACGCCGACTCGCTGGAGCTCAGCGGGAAGGAGAGGTTCACCATCACTCTGCCAGACAGCCTGAGTCCGAGGGAGCAGCTCACTGTCAAGGTAGGCAGCGGGCAGTAGACGCTAGGTGTGGGAATGTTCAAGCTTTTTTCTTTAAAGATGTTTAATCCATGAATTTGGCACGTGTATTTGCTAATTCAAACTGACAAAACTATGTCACACATTTCTTGTAAACTCACCTTTTTTTTTATGCAGACCAGCCAAGGAAAGTCTTTCTTTGTCACTGCACGGTTTGACACAGAGTTGGATGTTATCCTTTTCCGGCACGGAGGGCTTCATAGATATGTTGCTCGGACTTTGCTCTGAAACAACCTGCAGCTCCCTCTAAAGCCTACTGAATGTGCATTATGTTCATGAACCTCAGCCTCCATCATTTCACCAGTCTGTCCTCAGCATGGAAGAAAACCAGCTCGCTGGAAGTTGATTTGTCTGCCTGAGCTGGATGGATGCCTCCAGACTTTTGAAGACATGCACCCAAGCTACTTCTCCATCACTACACTCAGCTGTTTCTGCATTTGCAAGCAGCAGTTCTCCCTACAAAAACAAGTGCAGGAAGATGCAGTGACATGGACTTAATATCGAGATCAAACCCTAATGAACATCGTGTTTTTGCTTTTTTATCATAGAAGACTGAAAGTGCAGACTACCAAGAAGAAATGAATTGTCTGCTTTTGTTATCGTTTGACTCAAAAAAGCAATCCTGCCTAGAAAGGCTAAGATGGTGCTAGGTACTACAGCATTGTTTCTTAGACTTTGGTACAGTGTGTTTTTCCCAACATCTAAGTAAAGTTGCATATTGTGAATTTCAAAAATCTGCAGAATTGATGTCAGCTGCCTATATGTTGAACCGCAGCCAAACAATCTTATGTTAGTTCTATTAATGTTTCTTTTATCAAGCCTTTGGCAAAACATACTATTGCCTCCTGACACTCAATTTTTACTGTGTGGAAAAATGTGACCTTTTTTTTGCTGTTACATGTATCGGTAAGCTCTCTGCATTAACATGGCTCCTGCTACAAGTGACAGTCCTCTGCATCACATTAAAAGGTAAATTAAAAGCTTCTCTGCCTAAAGAATCTGTTACTGTCAGTACTCACAGCAGCAGATGTTTCTAAAGGTGTGATTTGAGTTAAGCTAAAAGATTTATTTAAAACAATTGTGTTATTTTTACTCTTACAGGAACAGCATGACACTTTGGAAAATGATTTACTTCACATTCTGATTTAGAGTTGGATGAGAAGTTATACTGCTCTCTTCTGTCCAGTAAATATGAAGGTACAGCTAGATGTTAATATGGCCCGATAACAGCTAGCCTGACCGTATCACAGCTGACACGTCAGTGAGCTTTAGAGGTGCTGATCAGTGGCTTTGTTACCTTTGCACAGAACCAAGCTAGGTGTTGCCTCCTCTCTACTCTTTGTGCTAAGCTATAGTAACTGTAGCTTCATGTTGGGATGATGTGAAGGTAAAAACTGTCAGTGACGAATCTAACTTGAGCAGTTCACCTTTTCGGTGCTTTACAAGCCACTGTTGGTTGCTGTCTGTGTTAACACGAGTGGGATCAGTTCATTTCCTAATATCACTTTCATGTCTTGTTAAATATTGCATGAAAAGATTGTCCACTGTGATGGATATTTTTGTTTACCAGCTTTATTACTCTTAATTTTAAGTGAACAAACACCTGCCCTGTCTGAAGTACAGGTAGCATTTAGTTTGTAATCCATCAGTCACTTACATTGAGGTACTGGGTGTGTTATCAAGATTCAGTCTCCAATGATTCTTTTTTGTGTCAGCTCTGCATAATCTGTCCATGAAACCATTTTGGCTCCATAAATATAATATTTTGCTAGGTAGTAGCACTTTTTCTGAAATCATGGTTATGTCACATTATCTAGGATGTGGATTGGAGTCTTTATGCTTTTGTGTTTTGAAGAGCATGATATTGTTTCGGCTGTGTTTGAGAAGTTATTTGACACCTTTTTCTGTAATTCACTGAACCACTGACTGCCAGAAGCTGTTACAAAACTGTAGTTTTTGCCAATTAAGCATTAGCAAAAATAGTGATTTGCTTTGTCAAACTGCCAAAATGAGCTGAGGCAAGTAGCAAATTAGCATATAAAGATGTCTGTCATGTTTAAAAGGGTTGATTGTCATTCCTCAGCTGGGCCAGTCCATCGTCACGGTTTGCTATCTTAGTTTGAGCAGGTGGCGTGATAGCAGCACTAATGGAATCCAACAGCCAGCAGCATGTGTAAAACTTCTGTTACATTCAAAAGCCGTTTGCACATGTAGCCCCACACGAGCCCTTGGTGGCGCTGTTTGAATGTGATGCTACGGAAGTAACATAAGTGAAGAAACAAGACACTGAAGTTGCTCCAAATGTAAACAGTGCAACCTTTATTGATTTGTTTTAAAAGAAACTTCTATGACACAGCGCACGTTGACGAGTGATGACAAACCATATGGGGCCGCACTAACAACCAGTTTGAATTAACGGTTGAAAACCTGCGTGTATCTGCCAAAAGTAAAATCTGGGCAGAGAAATGCTCGCAGGTTAGGACACCAAATGGCAACAAATGAAACACTGTAACATCATCATCGCCGCATGGCGTCAAGTTAAGGGTGTGCAAACATGGAATTAAAGCTGTAATCACAAGATGGCACCACAAAATGCTGTGCAACGGGTTTATTTCTGTCTGATGTTAAAACTCGGACATCAAACTGCAGACTGAGGTATAAACATCACCGTGATTAGTATTTGATAGCCTCAGTCCAGTTCTCATGTGTTCAGACTGGCTTTTAAAGGACCATTTTAGTGATTTTACATTCTGCTTCTCACACAGTAGTTCAGTGCTGAAACGATCGACAGAAAATCTGTCAACAATTCGGATCATTTATCATGAAATTTATCGAGCAAAACTGCCAATGCAAATATTTAGTGGCAGGGCTTTTTTTTTTTCAAC